CGGCTTCAGAATCTGGATCTACAATCAAGAGCATGAATAGTCGCTTGCATTTGTGTCCCAGATGAAATTTCTCGTCACAGTTGTAGCATAGCCCCCTTTCACGCCTCTCTGCCATCTGCTCAGGTGACAGTCTTTTGATCAGTGGCCGACCTTTGGTTTGATTATTCGGTTTAAAACCCGTATTTCCACAAGTCCCATTGGTGTTGGGAGCCGTTACAATTTGCTGTTTGGGATTGAGCGCACCGTGGGGTAAGGTTTTGACCACATCGTTCACCTTTTCTTCTTGCAATCGTGAGAGACCAATAGCTTGGGTTAGGGAAGTTGGGGTCAAGGCTTTAACCTCCCTGCGAATGTCAGCTCTCAAGCCTGAAATAAAGCAACTCAACAAAAACGGCGGTGGTAGGCCGACGATTCGGTTAGCCAAAGACTCGAATTGGGTTTGGTATTCCCGGACAGAAGCATTCTGACAAAGTTTGAACAAAGCCCCCCTAAGATCTTCATACTAAGAAGGAGCAAAACGTAGATCTAAAGCTTGTAGAAATTGAGCCCAAGTGTTGAGTTGGCCATTTGCATGCATCCACTGATACCACCCCAGGGCTTCCCCCTCAATATAAAAGGAAGCAATTCGTAAGCGTCGTTCTTCGGGCGTTCTGTGAAACTCAAAGAATTGGGAAATTTTGAAAGACCACCCTAATGGGTCAGATCCATCAAAACGGGGAACATCCAATTTCATGGTGGTACAGACTCCAGTCGCGGATGTACCGGCCTCGGAGTTGGTGTGATGAATTGTGTTCGTGAGAGCTAAGGTTCAGGTCTCTAACGCCACCATTCATTGTGTCATGTTCTGCAAATCGGTCTGCATTGAGAGATGGGCCTCAAGCAAACGATTGAGAGTAATTTCTAAGTTTTCGTTGGAATTTGGTGTGCCAGTCATGGCAGTAGGATGTGCTCTCAATGAAAGCACCAGACGATAAACCTCACTTCGAGGGTGAGGGACCTCCTTCAAATACAAAGAAAAACTAACAAAGAAATACTGAAAATTGCTTATTCATTAATGGAAGAACTATGTTGCCTTTATACACAGTCAGGTGATCACCACCTCTTTCAACAAGCATAACAGAATGCAAGGAAAATAAACAATGGCCAGCTACTAACAATGCAGTGATATCCTCGCTAACTAACTATTACAACTATGCAATCTTTCTTGAACATTCAGCATCCCTCATCCTAAGCCACATAATAGTCACGCATCCACTTTGGCTTATTCTTCTGACGTTTGGCCCACCTAGCTCGTGGGGTAACCTGTTGATCCAGCCCATCTTCTGGAACAACCTCGTCTCTGTCTTCACCTATATGGGCCACGCTTACAGCCTCCTGGCCCAAAGATTCCTCAAGTTGTGGGCTCATAACAATATCTCTTTTTTTTTTAAATGAAAAAAATGGCTTTGAAACAGTGAAATTCATAATATGAACATACCAACGTTAGTCAACAATTGGCGACCAAATTGACAGGTACTTTCTTCACGACATGAAGACACTAGATTTCTTTTTTCTATCATAGATGGTTACCTTTGGCTACGTCTTATTGCTATGGGATTTTGTTTTCTTATGTTGCAGCAACACTATTCTTCTTTCCTACACATACATAGGATTTTGCACCAGCTTTTCTTTTTTATTTTTTTATTTTAAATGATGGCCCCCACTTGTTAATGACTCAGTAGGAAAGCATAGTTTCTCCACTGCAACTGATGAAAAGCATTTCCCTATTGCTATATGCCTATATCTCATATTCTGGCTTTTAATTAAATAATTGTGTTTCATAAACAAATATTATTTTTTTAAAATTATTTTAAACTAATGTGGTCAATTCTATACGTTGATCTAAATCAACGATGCAAGACTAATGCTAGTGTGGATGTCCCACCCGTTTGTCGGAAATATCTTCAGTATTACAGTAGTACTGAAGACTCGGTGCATCATTTACTCAATTTAGAAAATATAATATATTTTCTTTACCATTTTACCCTTCCTTGTATGATTATTTTTCCTAAAACCATCACCATTTTCTACTTTTAGTAAAGGAGTATATACTACAGTAGCACCAAAGATATGCTCCCATTTGTCAAGGGGGACAATGATCATATTGCCATCTTTTACCGGATTGCCACGCTAGAAATTTTTTTTGCCAAAATGTCACGTCACAATTTCGCTGGTCTGACAAGCGGGAATGAATTGGACACGTGGCAGCTTCTAAATGGTCAATCATTCTAGCTGAGCAGCCCAATGCGAATGACAGAATGCTGACACGTGGTAAAAATACAGGTATTCTGTACTTTTGCAGAGAATGCCTGTACTTTTGCCACGTGTCAGCATTATGTCATTCGTGCTGGGCTACTTAGCTAGAATGGTTGACCATTCAGACACTGCCACTTGTCCAATTCATTTCTGCTTGTCAGACCAGTGATCGTGACGTGGCATTTTGGCAAAAAAATTTCCTGGCGTGGCAATCCGGTAAATTTTTATCAAAAGGATGTCAGTTTGGTCAATGTCCCTTGTCAAGGAGAGACTCCAATGTTCACAAACCCGGATGGGTCCCGTCGGAACCGATAAAGTCAGCGTATGATTGATCCAATGAAACCGGTGCGACTGGTCAAATCTGGCTGATTTTGGTGAAAAGTGATGATTCGACCCGATTGATACAAAAAAAAAAATCAATAAAATGCTTATAAATTGAAAAAGAACATTTCAAGCATTTTTTTAAAGTTTAAGAAGCTTATAAAATAAGGTAAAATTATAATTAACATGATAAATTAATGAATGTGAAGATTTCATCTGTCACTTATGATAGATATTAAATATTTGAAGATAAGTAAAGTATTGTGTGTTTCTTTGTTTGTTGGACAATATTGTGTGATTTATTATTTTTTCATATTAAAATATTTAGAACTAATATCATTTTTTACAAGTATTTGATTATATTTATAGTTTTTTAATATAAATTATAGATTGCATATACTTACCAGGTTATGCAGTTCAATCAGTGGATCACTGGTTGCACTAGTGACTTAGTACCTCGATCGGGTAGAGTTTAATAATATTGAGCGACTCTTTAATTTCCACATGTTGACCTTACAAACTACATTATATTTTATCGATAAAACATTCTTGAGTAAAGTCTTACTGGTAAGACATAAGTTTAGAAAAAAAAAATTACAATATATTCCTTCTCTCTTAGATCAAATGTGAAAAAAAGTATGTCATACCCACTGTTACAATGAGGGGCTAGCCCAAACGGGCCGTATCCCTAGGGCATGGTGCCCGGAGAAGGTTGAATGGGGATACCTCCTGGCAATGTACAAAAAAAAAAAAAAGTATGTCATAAATATATTTCCTCGTTGCTTTTCTTGCTCCGAAAATAAGTTAAAGTAGTCCGTGAGTTAAGTACTTTGTGAATTTTTGCGAGTCAGGCACAAATAATATATCAGAAAAATATTTCTGCAGTTACTGCAGATAAATTATCTGCATTTACTTTCGAAATAATATCATTTTGGAATTAAAATATTAAAAAATTATAATTATAATTATAAAGACTATAATAACTCTGAAATAAATTAAAATTACAAAAATACCATAATTTTCGTCCTAAAATGACATCATATTGAATTTGTTGTAGATAACTTATCTGTAGTAACTACAGAAAAAATAAACTCACGACATATAACAATAATTCAAGAGTGAGTTTGGAGATACCAAAAATCTGAAGTAATACCATATATAAAAACCCTTACAATTAGCGTGTCATTTAATAGTGATATACATAAAATGTGAGCTATTAGGATTTTAGGTGTGGATATTCTAATTACCAAAAAACTTCACTATTATATTACTACTCATCAAATTATCATTGGATCAAAGAGAGAGAATGTTAAAAAAAATTTGAAGAGAGAAAAAATATTAATCTAATGGTGATTAGATAGGTAGTGAAAAATTTTGGTAGTGAAAATTTCTCTCGTTTAAGATTTTTTTAACCTAGATGACTGTTGCTAAAAAAATATGAATGTGGTTGGGCACGGTTGCTGGACCATATCTTTTGACTTTTTCTTAATTTATCACCGTGAATAAAGGCTATAATGTCGTCATACCATAGTTTAAACTGATGTGATGTTTAATAAAATATGAATTCATTAATACAAGAACACTTATGCAAATTAGGTCGTAGGTTAAATTTCAATTTTGAACTAACAAAAAAAAAAATCAAAATTGAGGTCAGTTTAAATTTTGTTGAACTTTTTGAATGAACCCTTTAGAAATGAATATAAAGTTGATATTCAGATCAGATCCGACCCCAGCTAGCTGTAATGAACATGAGTAATTTGTAGGCCAACTATAATAAAATATAAAATAAAAATAAAAAGTAATCAAAACTAAGAGGAAAAAGGTCGAAGCCTACTAGGAATTACAGTAACACTTTACAGATAGTCCAATGATAGCAGAAATCAAATATATAATGGTATTTGATTTTTTTTTTTTATATTTACATGTTTTCTGAAGCAAAAAAAAAAAAAATTAAAACTTTTCTAGATCCTCTAAAAATAAAGCTCTCATCGCATTAGTTTTTAAAAAACCTTTGTTATTAAATTGGTCATTCAATGATTGTTTGATAAGAAAAAAATTCAATGACATTATATTTTTTTCAAAAAATAATTTAGTAACAACATTTAAAAAAAATGTAGTAGCACTCTAATATTTTAGAATTTACAAAACAAAAGATAATTTACTCTAAAAAATGAAATTCTAAAACGTGTACCACGTTTTGTAAGACAAGTGTATATATCATCAGATACAGGTGGTTGTTGTGAATAAAGTTGATGACATGTGAACAGATCATTTACAAGGTGTAGAAAATTAACATCTTTTAATTCTCTAAGCCACAATTTTTTGCCTTTATATAAGCTCATTGTGATATTGCTTCCTCAGCAGCACAATTACACATACACAAGTTTTTCCCTTTGCATTGTGAGTGTTTCTTGAGAGAAAGAGAGAGTGATAAGTTCAGAGAAAGAAACATAGATGGGGCATGTAGAAAAAGAGTCATTGGCTTTAGCAGCAGCTTCATCAAAAGCGATGCCTCTACCTCTGCTTTCATTGAATCACGTCTCTTTTATATGTAAGAGTGTGAGCGAGTCTCTGAAATTCTATGAAAATGTCTTGGGATTTGTGCTCATCAAGAGGCCTTCTTCTTTCAAATTTGAAGGGGCTTGGTAAGTTCTCAACTACTCTTTGTTAAATTTTTCATATTGTGTGTGGTGTCTCATGTCCTGAACTGAGTGTTCTGCTTTCTCTAGTTTGCCCACATATTTCGAACAGTTTCTTTAGATGGTGGATCACATCTAACTTATTATCTACCATTTGCTTCATATGATTGAGAATGGAAGGACTAAGAGATGAATGAGTGAGATTTTACATTAGATAAAATGCATGTTTTACTACAATGTTAAATTTTCGCTACCTTTACCTTCATATGAGCCCTTCAATCTTACCATTTACATAAGTACAATCTTATTGTTCTACTGCTACTGCTGCCAAGTGCCAAGCCAAGGCAACACTGATGAGTTTAACTTTAACCCCCTTTTACTGCCAAGGATAATAATTTTCTCCTCTTATAGGGAAAAAAACTATTCCCCCTCTTGCATAGTTAAACAAAAAACTTTAAAATAATAATAATAATTATTATTATTGTATATATAATGAAAAAATTGAAAATTATTTTTACATAATAACTAAATTATATACGAAGGTTATAAATAGAAACTAAAAATATATTTAAAAAAATTACCCATACTACTATTCAGGGCGGTGAATACCAGTATAAGTACATATAGATAGATCTAGTCTAAAATATTAGTCATATATATTACAAAGAAAAATAGATAGAAACTCTGTGCAGGACTAGACTGAGAAGTTGTGCTGCTTATAATTCGTATGCATATGGTACAATTATTAACACGCAGTAGTACGATGGCCCACTGATGCACTGGATTTGGGCCATGCCCTCCCAAATTCTGATCCGAATGGTCCTCATCATTTCTGTCCTTCTATCCATCCAATGCACCTTCACCGTTACCTACTTTTTCATCCTTCTTTTTTTTCCCCACCCACTATACTTTATATCATTATAATAATAAAAAAAAACTATTTTCATGTTACATGAGATAAGTTTTCTCTCCTATACACCTTTTGATAATTGTACCACTTTTTTTTTTTCTCTTTTCAAGTGGTGGAGCCCAAAAATTTATCTCTATGACATGAGATAACTATTTCATTTAACATGACATTAATAAAATTCTATACTAATAAGAAGAAAAATACATTAAATTTTTGTTAAAGATATTCCAAAGCTCAGTGTATTTTTATTTATTTTTTTTGCCTATGGGGGTGACTATTTCATGGGGGGAAATTTTGCACACCAACACTCACAAGCTTAGAGATGAACTATTGTTCTGCTTATCGGTGCATAAGATAGCTTTTATGGTTAATAACATGAATATTATTCAGGTTATTCAATTATGGCATTGGCATTCACCTACTTGAGTCAGACAAGGTTCCGGCGAAAAGAGGAGAGATCAACCCCAAAGAAAATCATATCTCCTTTCAATGCTCAGACATGAAGCTTATAATGCAGAAACTTGATGCAATGAATATTAAGTATGTGACAGCAATTGTAGAAGAGGGTGGAATTCAAGTTGATCAGCTATTCTTCCATGACCCAGATGGATATATGATTGAAATATGCAATTGTCAAAATCTACCTGTGCTTCCAATTTCCTCGTGCCCTCTAAAGCTGCCTAGTACCAACTATGCAAATGATCAAGCACCATCTTTCTATGGTATGCTTTCTTCTACCCTCCCCCATTTCCCCCCACCTAATAAAACTAGAGGAATATTTCAGGGACTTATTAAGCAAGTAATGGAAGTGATTGTTCTCAATTTGGATAATTTCGGTTTTGCAGGAGAAGAAACCTGGAAGATGTACTGCTCTACAGAAGAAGCTATGCTGATGATGGAGAATTTGGTGATCGATATGTTGAAGATCTCAATATGAGAGTTTAATAGGAATTGAAGTAATTTCCTTAATCATTTTGTGAAAGCCTTGTTATCCAAAGAGATAAAAGGACAAACAGAGAAAGAAAGTGCGATAGTCAATTACATAAATCTCATTTTGTACAAAACCCCGTTATGACCCTTTTTATTTCTTGTATTTTTTGGATATGCTTTTGGAAACCAGATAAGAAGTATAAGGATGTTAACTATGAAATTTGTAAATCGTCAATTCAACCTTCAAATTTAATTTTGGAATATGTAAAACATTAATTTAAATTAATAGTTTGATATATTATATTGGAATAGGAATAATTTATATCAGTATAAGAATAATAAATCTTACATTAAATTTTAACAGTAAATTTTTGTGTATTTAACTGTTATAATGGTTAGATATGCGAAAATCAATAATTAAAATTTAGTAATATAAGATTTATTATTTCTACACTGATATAAGTTTATCATTGCCTCTATTATATTTCTAATATATTTTGCAAGAAAGTTATCGTTTATTTTGTTTCGAAGCTTTGTTTTTATAATTTTCATTGCTGAGAATACATATTCAGTATTTATTATTGAAACTAGTAGTGTTAAGATAAGATGAATTAACCTATCAATCAAATGATAGAAATTTGATTTTTCTCTCTTAGCACAACTTAGAAATTGAATTAACCTATTATTCCTATTTTCCCCCTTATCTTTATATATATATATATATATATATATATATATATATATATATATATATATTACTTTAACGTTATGCAAATTGATAAGACTATTCCTTACACCTATGTAGCACCAATACTGATACGGGACACGACACGACACTCTGACACGTTAATTCTAAAAAATGTTAGATTTTGACACGTGAGGACACGTTTTGATATTAAATAATATTTTTAATTTATGTTGTGTATATTATATTTAATATTCAATAATTTAAAAAAAATGAAGCAAAACTTATAAAGCTATCAATTTTGTAAAGAAACATAAGATATCTTAAATATTTATATTAAACTCAATAAAATGATAATCGTAATCCAACGAATCTAATAGTTGGAACTAAAAATGCAATACAACACAACGCATCCTTATAATATTTTTTTGAGTCTCTACAACGCGTGTTAGAGTATCGAAGAGTGTCGGAAAGTGTCGGATACGACACGTCAGAGTTTTTGAAGAGTCGGTGTTTCGTAACCTTACACTAGTCTATACCCTACACACTAAATCTAACCAAAAGAACCAAGACAAGAAGGAAAAGACGAAAATTTTTAACATACTCCAGGACTATGATGGTCCTCCGTTAAGGGAGTGACATACGGATTTTTCTTTTCTTTTCCTTCTCTCCTCTCTCTCTCAATCTCTGTTTCACTCTCTCTCCTCCACCCCACTCTATCTCTTGTGTGGAGCGCCAAATTTCATCTTGAAAAGTCCTACTCCACTTATTCTTTTTTATTTTATTTAATCTTTTAAAGAAAATAAAATAAGAATAAAGCAACATAAAGTCCACGATATTTTCAGCCTAGTCCCAACTAATGACCTGTACAATATTAACCGGTAAATGATAGAGAACAAAGAGAGGAAAAAAATATTATAATAATATGGTAAGGTGCTTGATTGAAAAAGGAAATTGAAGAACAAAATGATTACTCCAGCGGTAAACAGCAATAGGATGGGAGCTCTGATGGAGTGAGGTTAGCTAATGGAGGGACATGAGGAAATTGTCGGACATGAAGCACGTAATTGTCGGACATGTCCCTCCATTAGCCGAAAGAAAGGGGAGAACTAGGGATTTTTTTACAATGATCCAGACCCATATCACTATTTTATGGTCCTTTGTCATTTTGGGTAAAATTTTATCTCATTTATACTCTTCTCTTTTTCCCATATTCTCCCTCCATCCTTTTTTTATTCTATATTTAGAAAAGGAGTTGTGTGTCGGGCCCGTAGCAAACAAGCTCGAGAAGTAGATAATAATATCTTTTTCTTTTTCGCCTTTCTTTTTATTGCGTATTTCGAAAATGATAGTCCTTTTGTGATGAGAGCATTTTGACTCATGAAGCTTAACCCTAATATAAATAAGCTAAAGAGAGACCTAACTATTTATCCAAGAAGGAGTTTGTGTCCATTAAGTCCATCTATCATAGAAACTAAGGTTATACTAAAACCTATACGGCTACCCAATTAAACCTAATACCAACTTATATTATAAAACCCAACTCAATTTTATCACAATAGACTAATCAAAATTCTTGAAAGTAGAATACCCATTAACTCAATTAATTTAAAACACAAAACTAATTAATTAATGTTATCCAACTAAAGAAAAATTTACAACATTAAGGCTTTGGGGGCGTTTGGTTCAGGAAATTTTTTGGAATAGTAGGGAAATGAGATAGATAGAGAAATGATTGGAAAGATAGATAAAGTGAGATAGGTAGAAAAATGTAAAAAAAAGTTGTTTGGTGGGGAAAAACTTTACTGGAAAAATTAGGTAACTTTATGAAATCAACAGTTCATTAAAAGCCAGATAACCGGTTTTCCGAAAAATCCCACCTTCAAATTGGGTTTCTAAACAGTGCGGATATCTATGTTTCTCATAAATCCAGACAAATTGGATAGATGGGTTTTTGGTGAAAAAACGTTGAAACAAACATGGTATTTCTAAAAGCCATACTTGAGAAAGATAGATATCCGCTAAAAAGCTCCCAACCAAACACCACCTTAGTTCACAAAAATGTATTCCCATTTTCTTTCCGTGGCAACCTGCTGCAAATGCATGTAGTGACGTACAAATTTAATGTCTAAATAAACTTTGAGAAAAGTGTTTATCCTTTCAGATGACACAATTTATATTCTTTCACTCTCACAAAGTGATGATATCCACATCGTTATATTTTGTTGTCCACTCTCTCTCCTCCTTTATCTATCTCTTTCTCTCACTTAAAATGACACAACTTTACATCTTTAAAATGATACACACTTTTCTCGTAAACTTTGCTATCTGAACTTTTATACTTAGCTATTCGCCTTAGTAACCTGTGTTAAGTGATGGACCTCTATGTTTTATTTAATACTTTCATGGCAGTGTACAATGATTCAAAAGTATATTGATTTTTGAGGATTTGTGATGTTGAAATCGCAGGTAATCCAATGAGTAATCTTTAAGCTAGGGCAGTGATTCAAATCACGGTCAATGGGCTGTGAATATCAAAGATGTGCAAGGAATGCAATGTTTGAGGGGGACGAAATCATTTTTTATCGCGCGCTTGTAGTTCTTTCAGAAAGAATTAGTAATAGCCCATATACACTATGCCACGAGATGATGACTTTCATATATGTAACAGTGCTTCTCGTGCAACTCATGAATCAATTTTTTTTAGTTTTTTGTAATCAATAATTTCTTAATATTTTTGGTCTCATGATACAGTTCAACTGTTGCTAGAACTTGGCACTGGGCCACGCTATCAAATCAATTTACAACATTATGACTCATTGGGGTATCCCAGGGCCCATGTATTTACAAAGATCTGAATTCTTGAATTTTGACTTTTGAGCATCAGTCGGTGATTACTGCTTAGAAATTGCAGTAATTTGGCTGTGATTATAATAAACAGTATCTTATTTCTCTCAGCAATCTATTGTACATTTGTTACTTTTTTAACCAGTGTATTTAATCCAGTTCAAGCACACTCAGCGCAATTCTTCAAATATTATTTTTTTCATTGTCATGACTTAAATTCAGAGAATAGTTCTTAATTTCAAGATTATCAAACTTAAAACATGTTAAGGGAAATAATTTTTTTTTTTTTTTTTGGAGTTACTCAACCCTAATTATCTCTTTGAGACGAGTTGGCTCCCTCCGGTATCCCCACGAGCTTCGACTCTTTGAGCTGGCTATGGGACTAATCCGGAGTGCGGGGGAACAGTAATGGCTAAAGGTTCAGCCCCCTCCCCAAGAATGCATTCAGCGGGAATCGAACACATATCCAACCCCACTAACTCAGCGCCAAATTACCAACTGAGCTGCACCCACTGGGTAGGGAAATAATTTCTTATCATTTAAACTAAGTGTAAAACATTTCTCCAATTACAATAAATAAGTTATCTCCAACGACTTCTAAAATCACCTCATTTTAAATTAATAGAGGGTGTTTTCTTAATTTTAAGAGAATTAATAAAAGATGTTTCAATAAAATTTATATGATAAAAAATAAATAAAATTACAAAAATATCGTTCATTAATTCAAAATAATGTAGTTTTAAAGGTCGCTGGAACTGACCGTAGAAATACTTTATCGTTAAGATTACATAAAAGGGAAAAATATTTCTGCAGTTACTGCAGATAAATTATCTACATTTATTTTCAAAACGACGTCGTTTTGGTATTGAAATCTTAAAAAATTATAAATATAAAAATCATTATAACCCTGAAATAAATTAAAATTACATAAACACCATGATTTTCGCCTCAAAACGACGTCGTATTGGACTTATTGCAGAAAAAACAAACCCTATATAAAATGATCTTTTATACATTTTTTTTATCACCATTAAAGATAATGCGTTTGCTTTTATTGCAAGTAACTCCAACAATTAGGCCAATTGACATAAAACTTACGAAAACTTCACAAATCTTCCCGATGGTTCTTTCAATTATCACTTATCTCCTTCACAATTTTTTTGAATTAGTTATACTTTTATTTAAATTTTTTATCACATCCTCTTATCCCCTTAAATAAAGGGGATAAATGATAAAAAAAAATTAAATTCAGAAGATAAATGATTTAAAATTTTAAAAAAGAAAAAAATGATTATGAGAAAAATTATAGAAGAATTTTTGAAGTTTTTCCTAAAGCTTACAGCATACACAATGTTCTCAATAATATGGAAACTTTACTTTACATTATTAAACACTCCAGTCTTGCATGATTTTGGTAATCTAAATGAGAGATTTAAACTACTGCAATACATATAGATACTTTACAAGTCATACGAACATATAAAAAAGTCAAATGCGTGATTCACACACACAAAAAGAAAAAACAAGACCGTGTTGAGTCTTTTCGGCCAGCAATTAAGACACGCGGATCGAAGTCTTGACTAATATTTTTCACATTTTTTCGACTACTAACTCGTGCATTCGTCCTCCAAAGTACAACGAGTGAGTTTTGTTATCTAGTGCATCAATGATTTTAAATATAAAATAAACTAATTGATTTTTTTTTTCACTTTACAAAATACATAATTTTTTTTTTTTTAAAAATAAAGCGGCACGATATAGAAAAATAATGTTACCTCTACAATACTTGAAAACTATAATTTCTTAATATTTGCAATTATGTTCGAACAAAAAAAAAAGGACATCACTAACGCTGGGATGCAAATGACATATCGTATATTCAATTTCAAATTTGATTTTAAATAATAATTTTTTAATACACTGTGAATAAAGTTGATATCACATTCACATCTGACTCTAGCTAGCTGTAATGAAAATGCACGTGATTGTGGGCCAATTACTATAAATGAAATGAAAATAATATAAAAGTAAGAGAAAGTGATATTTTTTGGTTTGATGAAGTGCTTCAAATCTGCCTACCAAAAAAAAAAAAAGTGATTCGAATGTAAGCATTCTAATTTAAGTATTTCAATGTTTAAACATGGGGTTCTGTTAAAATTTTGATTTATTAATAGTGCCCACTGCCCAGATATATGATATGTGGACAAATATATGATTATCTTGTCCTAGAAATAACGAAAATTAGACTGAACCGAAAAAATAAAATTCCGACGTTACAGAATGAACCAAGTTCAGTTTTATATGATTTTTCTTTTGTCACAGCTTCCTTTGATTTTCTTTATATTGCAATGTGGATCACGTTTTGTAATAAGATAAGATGGCCACCTTTTGCTGATAAGATGATATTTAGACCCAACGGCGAAAGAAGATAGGGGTGGGTGGCTGTCTAAGAGAATAAAATTGATAAGGAGTGGGCAGATATTTTTCTTTTCGTGTGGTGTATGATATGATAATGGATTTGGAATTATTCATCCTTTTAATTTAAATTCAATGATATAAAAATAATATTTAATATTTATTATATTTGCTGCTTCCATACTTCAATGACAAATTCTGATAACTGTTGTTGCTTATAGCCAATTTATTGCTGGGAACAGTGACTATTGTGCCACTCTTCACCAATTTTTTTACTTAAATGCCACGCGAACAGTGTTATTTTCCAATCTGTCACGAAGGCAAGTTCGCTTCTGACCAAGCGACCTCGGTTTGCTGACGTGTCAGCTTCCTGGTGGTGTCAGAGTTCGCTTCTGACACAGGCGACCTCGGTTCTAACAATATTTTAATCAAGTTCGCATGGTATGCGAACTTCATTTTTTTTAATTTTTTTTTTAAAATTTAATACTTATTATCCACTAAAAATGTGACACGTCAACAAACCGAGGTCGCTTGTGTCAGAAGCGAACTTGCCTCCGTGGCAGATTGGAAAATAACACTGTTCGCGTGGCATTTAGGTAAAAAAATTGGTGAACAGTGACATTTTGGTGAGTATCCCTTTATTGCTGCTGGTATCGATTTTGCAATTAAGGGTGACTTTTGACTATCATATCCTCCAATTAAATATTTTAATTTTTTATTTATCTCAAATATAAAAATTAAACATGAAATCAGAATTTGAAGTGTAGTTTAAATAAACCTAAAAGTTAATGTGTAAAGCGTGTGGAAATTAAAAGAGCTCTAGCTGTAAGCGACCACTTTTGGGTCTATATAAGTTCATAGTGGTATTGCTTCCTCTGCAACACAACAATTATTTACACTGAAACAAGAAAGAGAGAGAGAGAGATGGGGAATGCGGAAATAGAGTCATTGGCTTCAGCTAATTCATCAAAAGAGGTGCCTCTACCTCTGCTTTCGCTGAACCACGTCTCGTTTGTATGCAAGAGCGTGAGTGAGTCTGTGAACTTCTATGAGAATGTCTTGGGATTTGTGCTCATCAAAAGGCCTTCTTCTTTCAAATTTGAAGGAGCTTGGTAAGTTCTCCAAATAAATAAACTACTCTTCCATGGATTTTTCATATTATGATTTCTCAGGACCTGACCAGAGTGTTGGTGTTATGCATATTTTGAAGATTTTAATTTTTTTTTTTTTATAAACTCTTACAAACTACATTAATTATGATCGGTCATATTTCAATCAAGAGTGTATGATCGATCATACTTAGTGTAATTTGTAAAAAAATTTATAAACGGATCATTCCACTCGCAGAGAGTGAATCCAGTCAATGTGATTCATCTAGAAAAGCTATATTAAACAAATTATATGCTGCCATTTGTACATGACACCGAGAGTCTTCCACATTCATAAATAAATTCAACATCAACAACGACTTTGTCCCCAAACTAGTTGGACATTCATAAACATGCAATAAAAAAAAATCATTATGTAAAATCGGATTTTATTATTTAAATTATAAAAACAACATTATGACACATCATTTATATACATAATTATGCACAACTGCCAATGTTCAGTAACGTAACTAGGATAGCTTTTATGGTTAATAACATGAATATTATTCAGGTTATTCAATTATGGCATCGGCATTCACCTACTTGAGTCAGACAAGGTTCCGGTGAAAAAAGGAGAGATCAACCCCAAAGAAAATCATATCTCCTTTCAAAGCTCAGATATGAAGCTTATAATGCAGAAACTTGAAGCAATGAATATTGAGTATGTGACAGCAATTGTGGAAGAGGGTGGAATTCAAGTTGATCAGCTATTCTTCCATGACCCAGATGGATATATGATTGAAATATGCAATTGTCAAAATCTACCTGTGCTTCCAATTTCTTCGTGCCCTCTAAAGCTGCCTAGTACCAACTATGCAAATGATCAAGCACCATCTTTCTATGGTATGCTTTCTTCTACTCTTCCCCCAATTCTTTTTTGGTTTCTTAAAACTAGAGGAATGCTTCAAGGACTCGATTGAGTAATGGAAGTGATTGTTCTCTATTTGGATATTTTCCATTTTGCAGGAGAAGGAACCTTGAAGATGAACTGCTCTACGGAAGAAGCTATGCTGATGATGGAGAATTTGTTGATAAATATGTTGAAGATTTCAATATGAGAGTTTACTAGGGGTTGATGTAATTTCCTAAATCATTTAGTATAAATTTTTGTGAAAGCCTTCTTATCTGAAGGAAGAAAAGTGGAAAAAATGTGTACGAGTAAATCCGATCAAAATGAATCTATTTGTGAATAGTATTGAATTTTAATTGTGAAGTGTGATAGTAATTGTGCAAAGGGCATAATTTTTTTATTTTGTTTGAGTGCCCGATTTTGTACTGGGAGTTTATCTTCTCCTTTTTTATAATCAACCTCAGTCTTTTGAACTTTGGATTTCATTTACTCATTCAAGATATATTTTTTTTGGTAATCGTCATTCAGGATATTTATTTATGAAGTTAGAAAACAAGAATATATATTTTTTTAATATGTGGTTTATTTGAAAACCATAATTCAAATTAGGGAAAAGTGTCTATACTTTTAAATTACACAACTTACATCTTTTCACTCTCACAAAGAGGTGGGACCCACAACTTTATTTTTTTTTTGTCAACTCTCTCTCCTCCTTTATCTATCTCTTTCTCTCTCTTAAAATGACACAACTTTACATCCTTCAAAATTATACACACTTTTCCCTTCAAATTATGACTTTATAAGGCTTTCAAATCTGGTTGGCTTAAAAGAGAAAAGAGAAAGAAAAAAAAAGCGGCTTATGTTTGGCGGTATATCAAGTTCAAGTTTTTATTTTTTAAAAATAAGCCTTGCTCCTATTAAGTTATGCTTGACTGCCATGACTGGTTTTCATGCTTCATTGTTCGAAACAATATCATAAATATAATTCAAATGTAAAAATATAAAATATATAAAATTTCATGAAATGTGAAAAAATAATAATTAAACTTGCTCAGAAAATAATTCATCCGGATATCCCACGAACGGGAAAAAAGACCTTCCGGAGTCAAGAAGCGTATCAACAATTCACCCCAAATATTAAATTCGACTATAAAAAGAGTGACACAAATAATGAATTCAGTAATATATATTAAAAAAAGTTAAAATCACATGGATACATAGTGTATGTGGAAGACAAAAATTACGAGGATACGCAATTGTTGAATTTTTTTTATTAAAAAAAATACAAAAATACAAATGGATAGTAAACAAGGATAGCATAAAATTTAAAATCACTGTTTATATAAATAAACAGAATCTCGATCGGTAGTGAGAAAAAAATTTATATATTATTTTTTTGTGATATATGCTTTTAACATTGAAAAATATTATTTATTTGTTATTATATTTGCTATCAAACTCTTGTTTATTACTTGTTACTATCATTTTTTTATTTTTTTAATCAGTTTTTAAATTTTAATTTATTTAGTTCTTTTTTCAGCAAGAAAATGTTTAAATTTTATATAAATTAAATAATGAATACTTTACATTAATTAATTTAAATATAAATTAAAATAAAAAAATAACCCATTTTTTCATATATTCACTTTCTTTGACTTTGGATCATAATCGAATCATCAGTTATAAACCATTGATTCAGTTATATCCAATGATCAAAAAAAATAATTATAAAAAATTGTAAAGAAAAATTTGTTGTAAATATAAAATTCCTCAAAAATAAAATACTCTAATAACTATCTAAACCAAATTTACGTGGATAAACAGCCAAAAAAAAATACAATTTGTATAATAAATAAGATACTAGATGGGCACACCATTTTTAGAGAAAAAATTTCCCTTTTAAGACCAAGTATTTTCATCTTTCATAAATTATCACCATCTTTAAATTTATTTGAGTTGTGTTAATTATGTAAGTCTTATTGAAGATTAAGTAAATATCATTTTGGGTCCCTAACAAAAAATATGGTATCCACTTTAGTTTCTTACAAAAATAAATTAGTCAGTTAGTCCCTAACAAATTCAAAGTAGACCCATTTAGTTGAAATCGTGGTCCCTCACAAATTCAAAAAAGACACACATTAATCCCTCAAAAGGACTAAAATTGGTCCACTTTGAATTTGTTAGGGACTTACTGACTAATTTATTTTTGTACAAAACTAAAATATGGACCGTATTTTTTGTTAAGGACTCAAAATGATATTTACTCTATGAAGATTCAATGTTTAGGGTGTTTTTACTTTAAGAGAAAGAATTTTTTTAAAGGAAAAAGATATAAGGATTTTTTTTTTTGTGAACACTTTTTATTTCTTTGGCATAATTAGTCCTTTTTTTTTTTGTACATAAGTGTTTTACTTTTATATAAGCGAATATTGGACCAAATTAGGTTATCATGGATGGGGCAGAGGACAGTTTTCAGAGTTTTGATATGAAACTGTCCTTATTTGATATGGAAACGTTGGATTGAAATCGAGACAGCTTGAACGCATTGATGTGATGTGATGCCAATTTGCTGTGTCACGCTGACATGGCATCCATACCGCAATTGTGGTTGTGGTTCAAGCCTTCAAGGCTATTATTAATGAAGGTGGTATGGTAGATGGAGACTTTATTAAACCAAAAATTATTTTTTATTTTTTTGGACTAAAATTATTAAAATATCTGAATAAAAATAATTTTAATTTAACAAAATTAAAATTATGATATATTGTAAATTAAATAAAAAATAAAACATTCTTGTTTTTATTTTTTTATAGTCGAATTAACGTTGAAATTTATTATTTTTTGTTCATAGCACGTGGCTATGATTTTTGAGTTCTGACGTAACAAAGTTGAAACTTGCAGAAAACGATTGGCCCATGCTCGGGATTTTGACCATATTGTCACCTCTTTAATACAAATTTATCTAATTGTTATGTTTGAAATTTTTTTTTTCAAAATGTCACGTCACAATCTCGCTGGTCTGACAAGCGCGAATGGACTGGACACGTGTCAACGTCTGAATGGTCAACCATTCTCGCTGGACTGCCAAGTTAGAATGACAGAATGCTAATACGTGGCAAAAGTACAGACACCCAGAGAATGCACGTACTTTTGCCACGTGTCAGCATTCTGTCATTTTAGCTAGGCAGCCCAGCGAGAATGGTTGACTATTTAGACGCTGACACGTGTCCAGTCAATTCCCGTTTGTCAGACCAGCGAGATTGTGACGTGTCATTTTGACAAAATTTTTTTAAGACGTGACAATCAGGTAAATTTTTGCCTAAAAGGTGACAATATGGTCATTGTCCTGCAATGCTCAATCAGACTGAGTGTCGGTAAACCACGTGTTATGGACTAAACCTATGGGTCCACGTAATAAAGAGTCCAATAAGTATAAATAACTAAGAGAAAAATAAAAAAAGATCTTTATAACTAATATCAATCTTCAACGAATTACGAATCAAGTACTGTTTTCAATATTTATAAAAGATCCAAAATTTTATTACTCACCGGTAAATTATCTATAATTAAGAGATTAATCTTATAGGTACACATAGGGGTGCTAAACAAATCAGAAGGCGCTTTTCGCTCAGTTTGTGAAGGCTTGAGCTTACATGTGTAAAATTAGTTGTTGGCACCATGTTTGAACTTGTATAAAAGCTCGTTTAATAAAAAGGCTCCAGGCTTCAATTCAAAAGCTCGGACTTAGAGCCTTTCAGGTTAGCCTTGTATATTATTTTTTATTTATATTTTATATTTTTTATACTACTTGTAATAACCATCTCTTTCTCCTCAATCCATTTCACCCTATTTTATTGGTTAAACAGACTTTTTGAATGATTTTATTCTATATTATGCTGTTTTGATATACATTGAATTTATGAATATTTATGAAATTACTAGTGTTGTTGATTGTATATTCTGTTTGACTAAATTTTTATTTTTTTATTTTTTTTCAAACAGGATAATAGGCTAAATCAGGCTTTTATTTTTTATAAATAAGTCAGACCACAGACCGATAATTATATTTATAACAGGTAACAAGCTTGGTCAGGCTGACACATTAAATACAGGCTTAGCTCGACCCGGCTCGGCCCGTTAACACCCCTAGTTACACAGTTTTGAATTTTCACTATTAGCTATAACCGTACACATGCTTCATAATTTGGTTATACCATCTATTATAATACGAGTCCGTTTGTTTGACCTTTAAATAAAGGGAAAAGTTCACCAATGTCCCTGTGGTTTACTCCAGAATCACTTATGCCCCTGTGCTTTGTAAAAACTAAGAAACCACAGGGACATATGTGATAAAAAACATACCTTTTATTTACAAAAAAAAAAAAAAAAACATACCTTTTTACAAACCACAGGGGCATATGCGATAAGAAAAAAATCACAGGGACATAAGTGATTCTGGAGTAAACTATAAGGGCATTGGTGAACTTTTCCCTTAAAAAAAATAGTTTTTATGTCTTTTTATTTTATAAGTGTTTTTAACAAAATTTAAAACTATTTATATTTTTAAAAAATATTGAGTTTTTGAAAAAAATATTTGACTTATGCTTTTTTTATAAACTAGAATTTTTATCTTTCAAAAAAAATAAGTTTTTGACTTTTATTGTGATTTTTATTTTTTTTAAAATAGATATCCAAACAAACTTAAAATAAAAAATTATTTTTTTTGAAAAAAAAAACAATTTTTAGATTAAAAAACTACTCCAAACAAATCTTCTATAATGATCTATTACCTTCTAAGCTATCTCCTCCCGTGAGGGAATACTAATCCTACACCAACATATTCTTATCGAGTTGCAAGAAGTTAAGTGATAATTAAGAAAACTCATTCGATTTTTTTTTGAAATTTTTCCTAAAAAGAAACTACACAAATAACATTTATGCAAAGGAAAGAAAATAAGTTAAATAATTGGGAAAAATGTTTATCTTTTTAAATGACACAACTTATATCCTTTCACTCTCACAAAGAGGTGGGACCCACACTTTTATTTTTTTTGTCAACTCCCTCTCTCTCTCTCCTTCTTTATCTATCTCTTTCTCTCTCTTAAAATGACACAATTTTACATCCTTTTAAATGACACACACTTTTTCCTAAATAATTATATAAAATTCGTGAGGAACTTAAAGATCCATAAATTCAAATATATATATATATATATATAGGGTTTGTTTTTTGCTGATGCTACTTTAGATAACTTTATCTAATGTTCATCAAAACGACGTCGTTTTGGGACAAAAATCATGGTATTTTTGTAATTTTAATTTATTTCAGGGTTATAATAGTCTTTATCACTCTAATTTTTTAATTTTTCAACCCTAAAACGACGTCGTTTCAATGAACATTAAATAAAGTTATCTAAAGTAACATCGAAAACTTTTTTCCCATATATATATATGAGAAAAATATTTCTCAAGCAGCTTGAGATATATTTATCTCTGTCCACCCCAAAACTACGTCATTTTATTTATTTATTTTCTTATATTAATTGACTCACCTTTAAATGGTTATGATTCCTTTTTTTTCTCTTTCTTTATCACCATTGATTCATCTTTGTATGGTTATTGTTCGGTCATGGATTGACCGTATTGCTATACCGTGAGGTATGCGCTCAGAGATAGTGTATATCAGGTGTATACTAGGCTTATAGCCGAGGTCTCAATCATTGCGCACAAGCAATAGACTTATAGCCAAGGGGTGAGTGTGTGCACAGTGTGGGCAGTATCAGTAAATAGGTTAAAAGTGTTTACCTAGGGTCCTTAGGCTCTTATTTATAAGGATTACCTTATTAGGCTTAGGCCTTTTGAGCTCCCCAATTGCAATAGAATTCAACTCTCTTCCTGTTGGAATGTGATCCTCATCTTGTGTCCTTTGACTGTTTAGAGTTGTTGAGATGCTGGTGATTCTATCTTTTACTAGATACCCTGGTAGGTAGTTGGGATATGATATTCATATCCATAACAGTTATGATTTAGGAACTGAAAATAAAATTATATATATATATATAAGTGCACCCTTCATGCCATACTTCAATTTCACAAAAACCGTTGAATTAAAATTGAATTCGGAATCCTTCGGGAACGGAAACAGTGCTAAATACATGACTTGACCTGACAATTGAGCTAATGTAATAAATTTGAGTTTTCAAAAATATTAAAATAAAATTGAATTTTTTGTTCTTTTTTTTCCCCCTTTTCTCACTACCTGCTGGCTGCTGCTTACTTAACATGAAAATAGACAAAAGAAAGTGCATTTTATTTAGGCCTCCTCCAATTACAGCAAAATCTTTCTCATTGAACAGTGAGTTATAGTTTCTACATATATGTTAAAGAGTTATCCTCCACAACTTGAACTCCTCCCCGGTCACCTAACGTCTCTATAATAAGAAAAATAATTTTACAAGTTGCAGAACGTAACAAATATTTAATATTCCACATTAAATCACAGGAGATTAACCAATATCTTCAAGAATCTTTGAACGGGCAAAATCTCAGTTCCTTTCAAATTTTAGGAGTCTCCAAATTCCCAGCTGCTACGAACTAGTACCCCTTTGGCAAGTTTGAGACGGTAAAGGGGAAAGGGAGGGCCATGAAATCATATTCATAAGGGTGCAGTGTAAGCATGGATCATCAAGACATAAGGAACAAGAATGGTAGAATTCCCTTGTCAATCGCCTGAGGCAATAACGACAAAAACATCATCAAGGGACCATTTTCTTGGCACTGACTTTTCTGAAGGGTTGATAACAGCGCGTTCTTGGCTAGCCAGGCGATAGCCTATAACAATCTCCTTCCTTGCACGACCCCTAATCATTATATCATAAAAACACAGTTCTTGCTGGTCAAATAAATAGAACTCTGCTGGTTTAATACACATCTCGTTCCCCTGCCATAAATGAACCAAAAGTCCAACATATATGCAACTTTAATCTTGTAATGCAAAACCATATAAATTAAACAAAATTCTAAAAAATGCTAAACTAGAATAAAGTTTAGAGAATTGAAAATTCCAGAGACATTAAACGATCCAAATGGGATATGACCAAAGAAATTGAAATTCAACTGAGATCCATCAACATTGAGAAATAACAGGAATGAGTTCAAACGAGCGCTACCTCCTCCGCAAATAATTCCTCAAGAACACGGTTGATTTGCTTGTCTTCAGCCACCATAGCTAGTGCCATGCTAACCAGCTCATTAGATAACACATAATCACTGATTCTGGACACAGACACTAGATTTCTAGTCCTAGAATCCAAAATTTCACTAATTATAATTGATTTATCTGAAGCTTGCTGCATTTCACGGATCCAAGAGCTGTGAGAGAACCCAGATAACCTCAGAGAAGCTGACTTTGTGTCTTTGTATGGTAGACGTTTCGACTACAGGGTGGAGGGAGCAATTTTTCACAAACAATGCTGCAGTAGTCAGTAACAGGAACATCATAACCCTAATCTGAAATGCAACAAAACTGGATACCTGTATATCACGAATCAGCAGAAGGGTAGCTAGAGATCTTGAGTCGGAATGAGCAACAGAGTCCTCCACTGACTCATCTGCAAGAATAAGGATCTGTCCTCTTAGAGTTAGTATACAGTAGAGGAAAATTTTCATTTACTTTGCTTGACTGTCTTTAATGTTGAGATATTTAATGACACTTAAATTCCTACTTCAACACTTACTTTGCTCATAATTATATTTTGACAGCATGGTTATTTTGTCCCATCCACCAATCACACGGTGACAATCATTCTGATTAGATCACTTTTTTGAAGGAAGCAGGACATTGTTAATAATTACAAATAGAAGCCAACTCAGTCAGTTATCCATATTTCTTATTTGAGTCAATCAGCATAAAATCTGATCATCTATTAATTTCCAACTTTACTTTTTGGTTATTCTTGACAACAACCTCTCAATATTCAAATGGTGCATAAATGCTAGAGGATTCCTACCTCAAGGAACACTGATTCATTTCAAGTTTTAGATGCAATAAATTTAAAGAGAAGAAGATTTAAAACTTACAGAATCAAAAGTCTCCAATGGAAGACTCTCCAAGTGCCGCCTAATGACAGCATTTCCCTCCCTGTGGACAAGCTTTATGTTCTCTAGGATTTCAAGCCCACCATCAACAAGCTTCTTCTCTCTTTCGATTTCAGGAACCTCATTGAACATCCAAAGTTCTGAACCATGAGCCAACAATGCTTCTAAAACCTAGGAAACAACAATGATCAAGGACATTTTAGAGGATTATGAAGCTAGAATTAAGTGGTATAGTGTAGGAGATCGATCTATTAATTAAAGTTGTGTGAATATTTGCCATTACCACAGTGGAAGGATGAAGAGCATAATTCAAGGCAGTTTCTTACCGAGTAATATCTTAATTCGTGTATGACAGTCATAAAAGTATTGTTCTGATGTTTCCCTAAACTATTGCAAGTCATAACATTGAACCTCAATTAATTAGACTACTAGAGATTATTGGATGTAGTTTCTTCACGGATGAAAAACAATAAATTGGATACTTTTGTATTCTGCCACTTTTGCATATCTTTTACCAAAAGATATCCAATTTAACATGCGTTAGGTGCAGTAACTTAGACAAAGAATGTCAACTACATCGTAGATACTGGAAATTTGTTCCATAAATCTGTTAATTAAGACAAGATTTTGTTCGGCAGGATGGCTAAGGATTAAATCACCACCTTGCAGGGGTTTAAAACCCACTTGAACTTGTGACAAAGCCAAAGCTTCCAACCGAGTGGGGGGAAAAAACATCAGTTCCAATTGTTCGTTAAGAGTACAGAAAACTACTAATTAAAAGTCTAATGAATTAAGGAATTCCAGACCCTAAAATCAAGGGTAATTAATTAGAGGCTTGGTTGAGGGAAGATTAATTGACAAAATCTGCTTGTAATATTCCTCTAGCACCTAGCAATATTCCTCTAGCATCTAATAGAGGTGTAGGCTGAGGCCAATTAAAACACATTATGCTTCAATCTACAGCATTTCTGTATCCTTTCCATCTCTCACTCTTGAAAACTTATTTTCTCTAACTTTTAAGCATTTCTTGAGACTCAATTCCTAATCTAACATTCCTCACTCGTTTAGTAGAGCAGAAGAAAATAAAAAATGAGCAGTCTCCCTTTCAGAGAATTAAACAATTAGCATGGCTTGCTGAAACTGATTTTATGATGTCTACAAAGGGATTACTCCAATGCTGTTTTTTGGTGTTATATGTTGTCTACCTGATTTGATACCGATAATCACAAATCCATTCCTTGTGGGCATAGTAGATCACTTAAAATAAAAAATATTCAATCACAGGACCCTTATGTGCTTGGCATATGTTGCAGCGACCTTTGAGAGTTTCAAAATTCATTCTTCTTTAGTAATTCAATAGTAATCAAGAAAATTAACATGAGTTAATTTGGCCTATTTTTTGTTTCTTCAAAGGGTAAATTAGTTCTTCCTACACATCAATATGATAGTTCAATAATGGCAATGTCTAAAAAGGTAAGGATATTTAAGGCAGCAATATGGAGCGTACAAAATTTAGGGAATTACCATGATCATATCATCAATATCACGGCGCCAGCCACAAAATAATATCTTCTCTGGGTATTTAGGTGGATCAGAGATCCTGGGGTAAAAGCCCTTCTGTACCTGTTCGAAGTACACAACATAAAAAAAAACATGCTGACTACAGAAATTTATCACATAAATCACCTATTATCATATTGATTTAATAAATCCAAGACAAGGTGCAAGATATACTACATTCTAAGCAACTAATCAGCATGTTTTCCAATTAGGCAAACATCCTAAATGAACCAAGAGCTGCAAGAGGAGTTAGAACAGAAAGATAACCTCTGGAAGAGGACCTGGAGCATAAGTGTCATCATCCTCAGCTATGACAAGGACTTCATCCCCATCTCTGAGGACATAACTATCATCTGGATTTATGATAATCTTCCCCTTATCTGCAGCAACCTTAATTCCACAGGGTATCGCATCAGGAAATGAAATTAATAAGTCTTTGAAACACAGACCATTCAGTTCAGGCCATTTTTTGATGTAAAATTCAGCATTCTCAAATCCCAGAATATCCTCCCATATCTGGCCAAGAGAAGAAAACAAATGAGCCAAAACTGAATGATAGCAAGGTTAGGTATATGGGAGCCAAATGCAACAGAGAAGTCATAGTGTCCATAACATTTGAACCACTAAAAGGACAGAAAAATGGTTGTCAGTTTCTGTATCTAGCAACAGGCTTTATATTAAAAATGAAAAGAGTGTGTGCAGAAATTCATCTGGTAAGAGGCAGGATTCATGAGTCATTGTGTATGTGACTTAGCAAGCACACTCTATTTATTGTAAACACATATGAAGAAAAGGCAAGCAACCCGTCACGGGGGAGGGTGGAAGAGAGCTAGTTCACCAAGTTATCGCCCCGAAGAGTCAGGGCTAACAATTTCAGTAACGCTACTAGAGGGATCGAGATATTTGAATAACCTGTGCAAGGCCAGGCTGCAGAGCACACTGAATCATCAAACGTCCAATTACATCATGTGCAACAACTGTTTCAATGAGTTCTCCGCCAACAAGTTTCACTAGGGGTTCATTGTCAAGGTCACTCATCTCGACAACAACATGCCCCCTTAAACCCTCCTTTACACCTGTGAGGCTAAGTACAACTCTCAAAGCACGAGCATCACTCTGGAGACAGAGAATTGAGAAAAACATTGACTAAGAAGAATTTCCTCAGGAAGAGTTAGCCAACAAGAAAAACAAACAAAGGGGTAATGAATTATGTAAATGACCTGATCTGCATTTTCATCTGAAGCTAATACAATGATTGCACGTGCCTTTGAAACTGAAACCTTCAAATAAAAATTAAATTTGAGAGGGCATAGAAGAGTTAACAAGAAGGAAGCTAGAGATAAACAGCTCAAAACATATTGTGAACAGAGATTCTGTTAAAAGTTCTCCTTTCCCCAAAAATAAAACAGATACCACATCAGTACCTTCTTTAGGTCAGCCAGTATAAGAGGACTGCCACTTCTACAAATTACAGACGTCCCCATGAAATCAAATTCCAGCTTTGCTATATCCATTTCCATTTCCTCCTTTTCTTTTTCTGCAAGCACCACAATAACACCTCCACCAACACTCTTATTTGCTATTGCTAGCTGCTTCAAAAGTGAACCCTGCAATCAAATATCACTCATCAGCCTCTATTTATCCTGTTTACGAATGCAAAACAGATGCACAGAGCTCATACAGAGGAAAAAGTTTCATAATGCATGTTTATATGTAAGGAAGCATAATTCCACTAGATAATCCATATTGAGCTGAAACAACATAGAACTATCAGACAAAACAAATCCCCCAACATAACAATCAACACATATATTCCAAGTCAAATCTCAAACTCAAAACAGTTCATGGAAAACCATTGAGGAGATTACCAATTTATCACTCCACCCAAGAATGAGTATGTGGTTTCTTTCAATCACTTCACTCTTCCCTTTTCTGAGTGAATCCACCTTCTCTGATATAGCATCTGAAACAAGCCCAAGCATCATAGCAAATATCAGCATGCCACCAGAACTGATCGAGACAGAGACAATCCTCTGCCCGGTTCCTTCTGTTTCAGCATGATTTCCCGAGTCAGCAACATAAGTCCAAGAATGCCAAAGGGCTTCAGCAAAGCTACCACCAGTCACCGCATACAATGCTAAACCACCAAATCCTATAAGAAATAGAGTTGCAAAGAGAAGGGCAAGCAGCTTTGCATAAGGATGTATGGAGAAAAATACATCTACCATATAAGCAACTCTCTTCTTTAATGGTACATCTTCCTTGTTATTGTCCGTTCTCCTCAAGAAATTCATTATTTGAGGAAGGTAGTCAATATATTTGTACAACACAAAAGGCAAAATGAGCGTGAACATCACAATATACAAAGAAACTGTTCTACTGTCTGCATTCAGGACGTAAGAAAATGAGCCATCATCTTTCTCTAAAGATTTTCTTCCATTACCGGAACAAAAATCAATTTCACAACACAGGTGAAGTTTCTCATCCTGCAACGAAAGAAACTGATAAATAATCTATCCAGCATAAACAAGAAGTCAATCACAGTATTAGATTTCTCCAATTGCAAGCCTACCTCCAGTTTTGCAAGCCTATATTGTAGAAGAGCGGAATGAGGTACAAAAATAATACAAGTGATAACGAGCTGCACCCAAAAAGAAAGTTTCAAAATAAAGTATTCATAGAATTATCTCGCAGAAGAGAAAACAAAAACAGTGGTTATAGGTCTATAACTTCCTCTGTCATGCACGTTCAATACAAGAGAGAATCATATAAAACTTTGTCCAAAATGGCTATGTGGAAAAACTTATCCACCGTAGCAACTGATAAATGCATATTAGTTGTGGTTATCAAGTGTTGACAGTCTATAGTGCATATCAAAGAATGGTTCACAAAGCCAGTACAATAACTAGGGTTGTAGAAAGGGATAATACATGACTAGACTACGATAAAGCCAAAACACCAAGCAAGGGTGGCTGAATACTTTATTAATGCGAAAAAAACCCCATAGGAACTATGTCCCTCACAAGTGTCGATACCCTCTAGTAGAACATAATAACCACTTTTTTCCCGAGAGAATCTAATTGGAAAAAAAAAAAAAATTGAAACTTTGAGAAAAGTAACTAACCAGGTACAAGATGGGAGAGCGCTTATAGTGTTGTGGTCCGGTGATGTAGGAAGGGGGAGGAGTATGAGGAGGAGAAGGAGGAATAAGTGAGGAGGTTTTGGGAAGGTTGTGGTCGGAGTGAGGAGGGTTTGCATCCAAGCGTAGAGGATGAGGAAGGAGGTTGTGGGTGGTGTTGAGGGATGAGGAGGAGGGTCTTCTTCTTCTGGTCTTGGTGGCTGTGCCAAGGAAAGAAGGGTAGTTCCATTGCTCGTCTGAGAAATCGGCATTAATTGGAGGTGCTGCAGAGGGTTGAAGTGTCTTGGTCCTCTTCAATGGTGGCTTCATAGAATCGCCATTGCTCTTTGGCATTCTTAATTCTTATGCTTGCTTGGTGGGTGGATGACTTGGGAGTAAAGGAGAGAAAGAGAAAGGTTTATTGTTTATTGTTGGGGCTTGTGAAATTGTGTGATACTATTTCTGAATACTGAATACTGAATACTCATGACTCTGAACGAACGTGTTCATCATACTCCTCATGGCCATGGGTAGGGGTGGGTGGGATCTACAATGGAATTGTTGGACTGCAAGTGCAACTCCAAGTAAAAGTAAAAAACCCTCTCTCTCTCTCTCTCTCTGGTTCTGATTGCTGAGTGCTCTGTGTGAGTTTTAGAGAGCGAAAGCGCAAACATTATTTTAATCACTCTTTCGTGGGACCCTTTCATGCTCATGGGGTCGGGTCTAGGTGGGCTCTACTATACTGGAACTAACCCCCTTTTTCAAATTTCAGTTTTTTCAGTTTACACCTTTTTTTTCCTTCTCCATTCACAAATATTACCTCCAATTAAAATATATGAACTGATGACAAATCCGTGGTTTTTTATTCAATTTTCAAGAAAATATATTGATTCATATTTTTTTTTAAATATTATAATGATGAATCCCTTGATAATAAATTTAAGTACTGTTTCGTTAATTGGTCTTATAAAACATCTTGATCATTTTTTAATCGAAATCGATGAATTAGATAAAAAAAAATTAAATCAGAATAAAAAAAAAAAATTGTAGTTTTTTATTCAATTTTATTTCTTTGCCTGGTTTTTGTTTGCTGAACTAATAAACCAACTCTCTAAGTGAATTTGATTTTAAGGTTACATTTTTTATACATGTGTTTAATGTTTCTGTTTTTATTGCAGAAAAAAAAATCACATCATACTCAAATAAAAATAAGTGAATCCTATTATAAAGAGAAGAGAAATAAAATATTTGTAGGACTCACTCACTTTTATGTGAGTGTGATAGAAAAAAAAAATTGAACCAAAAATAGATATATATTTTCCTACATATATAATCAATGCAAGTCAATTTCTCACAAATATAATTTTAAGTATGTGAAAGATTGAGATGTTTACTTTATCATTACTTTTAAAATTTGAATTCAAAAATATATTTACGTACATATAGTCTATTATAATTATTTTCTCATTAGATTCGTTAGAAATAAAAATGATTACACAAAACAAACATGCGGCTTGAGTCATATGACAATAACATTAATTATTGTGTTAAGACTTTGCTTCGTTATCAAACATACATAGTTAATTCAAAATATATTAAAATTTAAAATTTAAAATTTTCACTTTATAGTTAACTAGTGAAGTATATTAGATTATATAATTATTCATGTGAGTTATAATTAATTATGATTTTGTTTTGGTAAGAATATATATTACTCATTTAGTTTTTGTTATTATACTTTTGAGTAAAACCTCTTTTGGGTCCCTATCAAAAAATATGATCTTCACCTTCATCCCTTACAAAAAAAAAAAAATAGTCCCGAGGTCCTTAAAAAATTTAAAGTGAACTCATTTAGTTGAAATCGTGGTCCTTTACAAATTCAAAAAAAATTCACCTTAATCCCTCAAAGGGACTAAAATTGGTTCATTTTGAATTTATAAGAACCACGAGACTAATTTTATTTTGTAAGGGACTAAAGAGGAGACCATATTTTTGGTAGGGATCCAGAAGGGCTTTACTCTATACTTTTATTTTTTATATATCAATCCCTGTATTTTCACTCATTTATATTTTAATTTCTACTGTTAAAGTATCGATCTTAGTATTTTTTTTTAACTCAATAATTTAGGTGATAATTTTCATTTTTTAATAAATTATTAGTTTCTAATTTCCTAGAATTTTATCTCTTCGACCAAATTGAAATTAATGAAACATAGATACCAATATCCAAAAAAAGAAAGAAAAAAACTCATAAGAAAGCAGTTTTTATAGTGAGAATTATATATATAATTTGATTTGATATTCTTAAAAAGTTTATAAAAGTTTTTTTTTCCAGTTTAGTCAACTCGTATCTTCTGCGGTACACAAATTCAACGCTACATCGCGTGGACTTCCATATTGCGGAAATATCTAATATGCTATTGTGCATATTTTTTTGGAGCTATCAGCCAATAGAAATTCATGAACCACTATGATATTATACGTATAAAAAAGAAAAATATTTTTTTTATCCAATTGTCAGTTGCTCAATGGAAGAGTTGCCTACCTATGTAACACCGATACCGACACGGAACACCAGACACGACACTCCGACACGTTAATTTTAAAAAAATGTTAGATTTCAACACGTTAGGACACGTTTTGATATTAAATATTATTTTTAATTTATGTAATGTATATTATATTTAATACTCAATAATTTAAGAAAAAATGAAGTTAAACTTATAATATCCATCAATTTTGTAAAGAAACATAAAATATTTCAAATATTTATATTAAACTCAATAAAATGGTAACCGTAATCCAACAAATCTAATAGTTGAAACTAAAAAAGCAACGCAACCTTTGAAACTTTTTTTGAGTCTCTAAAACGTGTATTAGAGTGTCGGATTGTCGGAGAGTGTCAGGAAGTGTCGGACACGACACGTCAGGATTTTTGAAGTGTCGATGCTTCATAGTTGCTATGGAAAATGTTTTGCTTTTTCACCCTTTTGCCCCTCATTAATTATTTAATAATCATTTTGCCCCTTACTCAAAACTATTTACCAATCTGCCCTTCTTTAATCGATTAAGCCAAAAATTTAATCGATTAAATAATCAAAATAGACAAAAATCGTTGACTTAAGATTTAATCGATTAAATCTCCCCATTTAATCGATTAAACCTACCATACATAAGGTTGTTCTTCTGGTAAAGAGGAAGATTTAATCGATTAAGTTGAAGATTTAATCGATTAAATCTTCATTTGACAATTTAATCGATTAAATATTCAATTTAAATCGATTAAAGAGGGGCAAATTGGTAGATAGTTTTCAATAAGGGACAAAATGATTATTAAATAATTAATGAGAGGTAAAAGGGTGAAAAAGCCAAAAATATTCTCTCACTTTTTCACCCTTTTACCGCTTATTAATTAATTAATAGTCATTTTGCCCCTGATTCGAAACTATCTATCAATATGTCCCTCTTTAATCGACTACCTTGCATTTTTAATCGACTAAACGGCCAAAACAGACAAAAATGGTTGTTGGGAGATTTAGTCGACTAAATCTCACTATTTAGTCGACTAAATCTTCATATTTGACAACAAAGGAAAATAAGTCAGTATGATTTTAATCGATTAAGTAGAGAGATTTAGTCGATTAAATATCCCAACAACCATTTAGTCAATTAAAAATGCAAAGTAGTCGATTAAAGAGGGACAAATTAGTAGATAATTTCAAATCAGTGGCAAAATAATTATTAATTAATTAACGAGGATAAAATGATCAAATAGCCCAACTAGTTACTACCTACTAGTTAGAAATAAAGAGCAATTGAGTAGCTTTACTTGCCTTTGCTCTACTATAAACTTTCCATTTCCCAACTTCTGTCAAATGTTAGTTTGACATTGATTTATTTTAAGAGTAGGAAGAATTTTGAATTTTTTTTTAGAAAACTTAAAAAAAGTATATCTAAAAAATTAAAATGAACATAGGCTTAATTATAGGAAATTTACATTATTAGGACGTAAAATATTCTAGACACAATGAATTAGTTTATTTAAAAAGTTCAGAAGGTGAATTTTAAATAACAGGCCACGAATGCCTATAGCTAGGAAAACTTTTTGCAATGAAACATTAGATACAATACACCTAGGAGACAACGGCATGTGCTACCCAAGTGGGCACACCACAAAGGTCTAAAAACATCAAAATAGGAGTGACATAACATACTCATCGGGTGGTAAACGAATCAGGGGTTTTTCAGGGGTCTTTGGCTCGGCTCGTAAAGGCCTGAGCTCGTTTAATAAAAGCTCGTGTTGGAACCAGACTTGGACTTGTATAAAAGCTCGTTTAATAAAAAGCCTCAGGCTCTAATTCAGAAGCTCGGCCTTCGAGCCTCCCAGGCTAGCTTAGTATATAAATATTTATTTATACTTTTTATACTACTTGTAATAACTCTCTCGTCAATTTATTTCACCCCATTTTATTGGTTTAACAAGTTTTTTGAATAATTTTGTTCTATATCATGCTATTTGGATATATATTGAATTTATGTATATTTATGGAATTACTAGTACTGTTCTATATTATCCTTCATCCTCCTTCACACAAACAAACCCACAAAAACTCATTCGTTCCACTGTGCACTGCTCGTTTGTGTCTATTTTATTTTATTTTATTTTTATTTTTGTTGGCACTTTTTTTATAATGGGCTAAGATAATATAACATGTTATCTACCTTCTTTTACTTTAATTTTATTTATTTATTGTAGACTTTGTAAATTATTGCTGCAAATTTGAAGCTAAGGTTTCTATCTGAAAATTGATTTTTTGTGAAATTCTGTTATCTTATTTGTATTCTTTAACATGCTAACAGACTAAGACAGGCTTCACACAGACTTTTATTTTTTGTAAATAAACAAGACCACATGTCAATATTATATTCGTAACAGGTAACAGGCTAAAGCCAGTTAAACACGTTTAAATACAGACTTGGCCCGTTAAGATCAAAACTCGGCTCGTTAACACCCCTAGTACCCATTACATTACTAATGGCTCATGAACATGCCAAATAAGAGAGAAATTTTGAAGAAAATAATGAGCCTCTCTAATTCTAGGGCTTTACACTTTTTTAAAAAAAGAAGAAGAAGAAGCTGCATACATAAATATTTACAGTTTTATTTTTAATTTTACACTTAATAGTAAATATAATTCATTTGAGTTTAGGAAATTATAATCTTCTCCTTTTTCAGCAGGAAACTGTTTGTTAAAAGCTAGGCGCATAACATGGATTTCTTTTCTGCAGTGCGTCTCGAGAGAGAAAAATCACATTTTTAGCTGTGGTCCTAATCTCAACTAGTGGGAACCCATAAAACAAACTGTCATCTTTCATGGCAAAGAATCTTTCATTATTTTTATGCCTCCTTTACTCTTTTATTATTTTCAATGTAGTTTTTTTATTCTTCTTTACATTATTTCATTCGTTTTATTCTTTATGTCTCATCCTCCTTGTCTTTGGAGGGAAACCATATATGAATCTTCCTTTTTTCAAATCAATATTAATTCTTAAAATCTGTCTACATTTCATAAAGTAACTTTTCCTATTCACCTGGGATTCATCTCCCATTATATTATTTCATCGCCCTTAATAGCCGTTGGATTTGTTTTGCATCCAAGCCTAAGATTGGGTTTCAATTTTCCCCAGCAATCTTTTCATTGATCTAATTCAAATATAAAAAATTCAAATGAATCATCTTTTGACACTTTTTTCCTTCCCAAAATGGTAAATAAAAAAAGAAGATATTGTAACAACGTGTTACTATTAATATTATTATCAATCAATTTCACCGTTAGATCGATTATGTTGATCCAATGCTTATATTTATTTCCATCTTTGTATGGTTATGATTTTTCGGATTTGATATTTTATATTTATTTTCACTGGTTATGATTTCCTATATTTAATACTTTCACATTAAATATGAGGAATTATAACCATACAAATATTGAAATAAATATAGCCGTTGAATCAACATAATCTATATAACGGTGAAATTGATTGATAATAACATTGATAGTAATACTAATTGGTTGTTACAATATCTTATATTAATAAAAAAAAAATTATTTATAGAGGATATTTAAAAACTATAATTTATCAAGATGAAATGGTTTTACATTATACACGTGCACGTCATGTGTATAAAACTCCATTGCTCCACGTCACGCTCAAATCACATGATATGGAGCGTTGATCTTTGAATTGGGGGTCGAGAAGGGGCGAGATGAAACTGAACAAAAATATCTAACGCGGAAGAAGGACGATGCCGTTTTCCAGTGGCCGTTGCTGGCAGAAAGTGGTGGCTGGGTATGTCGTCAAGCCTCACTAATCCTTGTGGAGCCAGAAATGGGATAGTTGGGGCATTCCTCCAACTTCATTTTTTTTTAGTGTAAACACCATTTTTGGTAAGTGATAATATCTATGAAATTCTTTTTAGTCCTTCACAGTAAAAAAAGACCAAATTGGTCCCTAACAGTATGTAAAGAGGGCCACGTAAGTGACGGATGAGTTCATATTAGGACTAACGTGGCCCTTTTTTCATAATTTTAGAGACCAATTTGGTCTTTTTTTATTGCCAGGGACTAAAAAAGATTTCGTAGATATTGCCAGGGATCAAAAAGAGTGTTTACCCTTTTTTTATAATCATTTAAATTTGAACATTATTTTTAATTTTTATTATATTTATAATATTCGTTCTCTTTTAAAATTTATAAAAATCTTTAATTATAAGTACTTTTTTCCTCATATAAATTATTTTAATTTTAAAAATAATTATATTATAATTTTGCTCTCATTTTTTTTCTTCAACTTTGTCATTAATAATAGCTCTACAATCCCTCGCAATCTCTATGGTGTTTTAATTGAGAATTGAAGTCACGTAAAGAGTTACTTATAAGCTGGATTAAGTCACTTTTAGGCACTGAATACCATTAAGTAAAGATTATTATCGGGTCATTGTTAATAAAGTAAATACCACAATGGACGTCGATATTTAAAGGGATAACAATATTACAAGTTCTACATTAGTTGTCTATACAACTAATATAATATTTATAAAGTCTTAGATACTCTCACCCTTTAAGCTAATTTTTAGGATGATGACCTTAAAATCGTAACAGTCCCATCTCAGGATTCATTATTAATTTTGAAGATCCAATTTGTCACGCATGAATATGAATTAGTTGTTAGGAACGACAGATTGAGAAATAACTAAAATAATACCATTTTTATTTAAAAATGACAAATAATTTTGTTTTATTTAAAACAAATAATATTATATATATCAGTCGTAATCGGGTTTATAAAATAAGGTTTATAGCTTGTTTTTTAATTTTTTATTTATTTTACTATATATATTAATTTTTTCCGAGATTTATGTAGGTGGGAGACTGTAAATTCATGGTAGGATAGACGACTTACATTACTTACATCCCTAACTATTAGTTAACAATAAAGATTTAATATTTTTCCACTCATAATCACTAGATAAAATTATCTCATATCATTTTGAAATTTAGGAGAAATAAAAAACGACAACCTGTACTACATACATCCCTAACCGATAGTTAATAATAAGGATTTAATATTTCTCCTTTAGAATCAGGTGATAAAAATATTTTTTATTTCCAAAAAAAAAAAAGGTGATAAAAATATTTTTTGTAACAAAAAGCCGATATCATTTTAAAATTTGAAAAAAATAAAATAAAGACATTTTGGAAAAAAAATTCAGAGAAACAAATTTTCCAAAACGAACCCTATTTTAATTGCAAGCCCAAAACGACGTTATCTATGTCACATGGAAACATTCTTCCCTGTTAGGTTGGTGGTTTTCCTAATTTCTTGCTACTCGTAGGCGCTTCTTTTTTAGGTTTGCTTCTTCTTCTCTTTACTAACACTAAGACCACATTCAATTCTGCAACATTTTTCTTTAATTCACAGTTTTTGTTGCGTCTGTGGATGATTGTGTATTACCCTCGCCTGCTGTTAATTCTTCCTTTCCTTTCCAAACAGTTTAATATAGTGGTTGCATTATTTAAATTTTGAGAAATATCTGTGCGTGTCTGTGTTTTATTTTTCGCGATAACTGTTCATTTTATTTTTCTCTGTGTCTAACCTGTTTCTCCTTTGTTTTAGGTTGAGCTTGGTTTTACATAATTGATATTGTTGATCATGAGCTGTGACAAGGAGTTTGAGAAAAGTATCCTTTGTTAATTGACCCTTGCGCTGTTTTTATTATAGGTTAAATCTTCCGTATTTGATGAATTTCCAGAATTGAATTACATTTTATTCATCTGCACCACTCTTTAATGCACAGAGTTTTGGAACATTATATCTAACTTGTATTTATGTTTTTTGCAGAGAATTCACTCTCCAGCTTTTCTTTTTCCCCTTACTTGCTACTAAATGATGCGAAATTTTCTTATTTTTGAGCTTGTTTTGTCCATATAAACAATTAATTTCTCGCCTCTCTTTTTTTGATGAAGAAATATAAACTCACAATAATCACAATAGCCTGTTTATTTTATAGAGATACTATTACTAACACGGGGCACACAATGGAGCATTTACAGTCCAAGAGTAGTCACGTAGTCAAATCCCTAGTCAAACCTTAATAACTATTAATTCCAGAAAAAAACATAGCTTCTTAAAATTAGGAAAAACCCCTAAATTGCAAAAAAATAAAATAAAAAATATTTATCTGTACAAATAGCGTTAGTAACTCCTATTCATCATGCATCATTTTTGTTTTTCCCACTCTTTTTAGGAGTTAAAGTAGACAGGCAATACTTATATCTGTCTGAAATGGTTACTTGGATGTAGTATTCTGAAGCGAATTCCATGATGTGGTTTGGTATTAGGTTTTAGTGAGTCAGGGTGATTTTTTTTCCCTCTCATTGGACCAGTTTCAGATTCAGATTCATGTTTTATCTATGATATACTTAACCATGTGATATAGCTCAGTCTGTGCCGACAGGAACAACAGGTTCTAGTCAGCCGCAGAATGAGGCAGATGAGGTATGTGGCAACTGCCTCTTTCCACTTTATTGACTCTCTCAATGAATTTGCATGTTTCTTTTTTTTTTCTTTCTAAAATTTATCTTGAACTTCTTCATCTCTTTAATCTATTGAAATGTCATAATCTTGTTCAGACTACAAAACACATTGTTTAGGTGTGGTAGTGCTTCTGTTCGTAAGTATGAGAAAAACTCTAATTGCAGTTTGGTATTTAGCATGAAAATACTTTATTGGTTGCTATATCATGGTGAATGTTAACATCGCCTTATGGTATTAGAGCAGTTTCGTCGGGAATAACTGTTAGTTATTGTTGAGTATGCTTAGTGTTTGATGCTTTATAGTTGTTTTAGTACTCTTTATGATTAATGCATTTGTGATCACTAAGTGTGGGCCTGATCAACTCACTTCTTTGTGTAACATGTGTAGTGACATGACGAGGCACCGAAAAAAACCCCGGACCATCAAACACCGATGCTCAGCCAGAACCTGTTTTGGCTGCTCTTGTTAGGCCCAGAAGTGGTCGTGGGGCAACAGGTGGTCAACCTGAACCTGTGACGGCCACTATGGTCGATATGCAAAGGGAATTGGCGGCTAGTCGGCATGCCAATGAAATTTTGATGAAAACTAACGAGGATGCGCGGACTGCCATGGCCGCAATGATGACTGAGTTGAGGACGTTGAGGGGTCCTAGGCCCGTGAACCGGCAACCCACTCCTCCTCCTCACACTGCTATGCCTTCTCCACCTCCTTCACAAGAAGAGGGTGTAGCGGGTAACAATGAAGGTGAGGGTAGTCACCATTCTGGAAGTCGTAGTCATCACACCGAGGTTCGTCAACCTCGAGTTGAGAATGTCGGTGACCATGAAGTGGAGGAAAGAAGATTGATGGCTTTCCGAAAACACAAACCTCCTTCTTTTAAGGGAGGTTATGAGCCAATGGCGGCTGCGAAATGGCTCCAAGCGATGGAGAAAATCTTCAGGGTGATGAGATGCCCTGACGCAATGAAGTTAATCTACTCCGTGTACATGCTGGAAGAAGAAGCGGAGGATTGGTGGACTAATACCGTACAACCCCTAGAAGCCGAAGGTCGGGAAATCACCTGGCGGTTGTTCGAGACATTGTTCTTGGATAACTATTTCCCTAGAGAGGCCAGGGAACAGAAGAAGAACGTGATGTTAAGCTTGATTTATCTGATTCCGCAAGGTAATATGGTTATGATCACGAAATGGGGTATTATAAATTCGGCATGTTTTAAAATGAAAAATTTATCCGGATTTTAATTGAACCCATGTGATTGTAACTGCGCTTAATATCATAAGGCGATGTTAACAAACCGGTTCTAGAACGGGGTGTTACATTTTACACATATAAGTCACTCTTTAGTCTTTGAACCTAATAGTTTTTTATGGATACACTTGAATATAAAATAATATGTTGTGTATTGATCTAATTTAGAGGGTTACAATATATAGAGACTCTAATGGGCTTAAGTGAAAGGCCCAGACCTCAGAATTAATTACAGACTAATCATATCTAATCATAATAATTACAGACTAATCATATCTAATCATATTTAATATATTCTAACACTCCCCCTCAAGCTGATGCGTATATATTGTGAGCACCAAGCTTGTTACAAATATATTGAACCCGAGGACCTCTAAGAGCTTTAGTGAAGACATCCGCTAGTTGATCAGAGGAGTTGACGAAAGCAGTCTTGATTTCTCCTGACTGAATCTTTTCTCGAATGAAGTGACAATCAATCTCTATATGTTTGGTCCTCTCATGAAAGACAGGATTAGAGGATATATGTAGCGCAGCTTGATTATCACAGATGAGTGTCATGGGTTGTTTTTGTTCACAAAGATGAAGCTCCTGAATCAACTGCTTTAACCAGACTAACTCACAGGTAGCATTTGCCATTGCACGATACTCAGCTTCTGCACTAGATCTAGAAACAACAGGTTGTTTCTTGCTCTTCCACGAAATTAAGTTTCCTCCAAAGAAGACACAATAGCCAGAAGTAGAGCGCCTGTCCGAGGGTGATCCTGCCCAATTAGCATCTGAATAACCACAAATTTCTGTATTTCCCTGATCTGAATACAACAAACCTTTCTCTGGTGCTCCTTTGATGTATCGGAGGATCCTCACAGCAGCATCCCAATGTGAATCACAAGGGGAATCAAGAAACTGACTAGCCGTACTAACAGCAAAAGAAATATCTGGCCTAGTCACAGTAAGATAGTTGAGCTTCCCAATTAGCCTCTGATAACGTCCAGGATCAGATAACGGCTCCTCCTGTCCGGGCAATAACTTGACATTAGGATCCATAGGTGTATCAACTGGTTTACTCCCCAACATACCAGTTTCTTCTAGGATATCCAAGGCATATTTCCTTTGACAGATAGAAATGCCCTGTCTGGATTGCGCCACCTCAATTCCCAAGAAGTAACGCAGCTTCCCAAGGTCCTTTGTTTGAAATGTACTAAACAAATGTTGTTTTAACTGACGAATTCCGTCTTGATCACTTCCGGTGAGAATGATGTCGTCAACATAGACTAACAAATAGATACACTTATCAGGAGATGCAATCCTATAAAACACAGAATGGTCAACTTTACTGCGGATTAAGCCAAACGCCTGAACAGCAGAACTGAAGCGACTGAACCATGCTCGAGGAGACTGCTTGAGACCATATAAGGATTTCCGAAGACGACACACCTTTCCAGACTCCCCCTGAGCAACAAAACCAGGTGGTTGCTCCATGTAAACTTCTTCTTGTAAATCACCATGAAGAAAGGCATTTTTGATGTTAAGTTGAAGGAGTGGCCAGTGACGAACAACAGCAAGGGCAAGAAAGAGGCGGACTGAACCATGCTCGAGGAGACTGCTTGAGACCATATAAGGATTTCCGAAGACGACACACCTTTCCAGACTCCCCCTGAGCAACAAAACCAGGTGGTTGCTCCATGTAAACTTCTTCTTGTAAATCACCATGAAGAAAGGCATTTTTGATGTTAAGTTGAAGGAGTGGCCAGTGACGAACAGCAGCAAGGGCAAGAAAGAGGCGGACTGAACCATGCTCGAGGAGACTGCTTGAGACCATATAAGGATTTCCGAAGACGACACACCTTTCCAGACTCCCCCTGAGCAACAAAACCAGGTGGTTGCTCTATGTAAACTTCTTCTTGTAAATCACCATGAAGAAAGGCATTTTTGATGTTAAGTTGAAGGAGTGGCCAGTGACGAACAGCAGCAAGGGCAAGAAAGAGGCGGACTGACGCCATCTTAGCGACCGGTGAAAATGTATCGCTATAATCAAGGCCAAAGATTTGAGTAAAACCCTTGGCAACTAAACGTGCCTTGAGACGATCAATATGGCCATCAGGTCCAACTTTCACAGTAAAAACCCAGCGACAACCAACTATAGACTTCTCTGGAGGAGCAGAAACAAGGTCCCAAGTGCCATTGGAATGAAGTGCAGTCATCTCATCAAGCATTGCTTGGCGCCACCCTGGATGGGAAAGTGCTTCACCTGTGGTCTTAGGAATAGAAATAGAAGAAAGACTAGAAACAAAGGTGAAATGAGGTGAAGAAAGACAGTCATAACTCAAAAAGGTATAAAGAGGATAAGGGTTACGAGTAGTACGTGTACCTTTTCTTTGAGCAATGGGAAGAGTCTCTGATGAAGGATCCGGAGGGGAAGAAGCAACAGCAGTGGGCGATGAGTCAGCAAGAGTCGAGTCGACAGGAGGCACAATTTTGCGACGCTGATAGGTGAGAAGTGGACGGTCCTCAGGTATAGTAGCAATAGGTTGCTCATCTGGAATAGAAGCACCTGCAGCTGGCAAAGACAAGTCAAGAAAAGAGACAGGAAGTACATGATCAACCTGTGACATCTGAGATGGGATAGAATTAAAGGGTTGTTGATCAAGAAAAGTGACATCAGCGGAAACTAAGTAACGCTTAAGGTCGGGAGAATAACAACGATAACCCTTTTGAAGACGAGAATAACCAAGAAAGATACACTGAAAGGCTTTGAATGTTAACTTATCCTTACCAGGAGTAAGATCATGAACAAAACAAGTACAACCAAAGACATGTGGAGTTAGAGGATAAAGAGGAACATCTGGAAGCAATAGATTATGAGGAATGTCATTGTGGAGCACAGATGAAGGCATGCGATTGATGAGAAAACAAGAGATGAGGACAGCATCTGCCCAGAAGTGAAGGGGAACCTGCATATGAATAAGAAGGGTACGGGCAGTTTCAATGAGATGTCTGTTTTTACGTTCACCCAACCCATTTTGTTGTGGAGTGTGAGGACAAGTAGTTTGATGTAAAGTACCTTGTGTGGCCAAGAAATTAGAAAAATCAATAGAAACATATTCCTTAGCATTATCACTACGTAGAATACGAATAGAAACACCAAATTGAGTATGGATCTCAGTAGAAAACTTTTTATAAATGGAAAATAACTCAGAACGATTTTTCATTAAATAGGTCCCAGTGCAACGGGAAAAATCATCAATAAAGGTAACGAAATACCGAAAACCTAAGACAAGGTACGACTTGGACCCCAGATATCTGAATGAACAAGAGAGAAAGGGGCATCAGCTCGTTTATTGACTCGACTGGCAAAAGAGGAGCGTGTATGCTTCCCTTGTTGACATGACACACAATCTAAAGACTGAAGACCGGACAAAAGAGGAACCATTTTCTGCAACTTTGAAAGACTTGGCTGACCAAGGCGACTGTGGATAAGTTGTGGAGATTCTGTGAGAGTGCATGCTATTGAAGGACGAGGCACATCCAGATAATAAAGCCCCCGTGACTCACGACCCACTCCAATCATTTTCCCCGTACCCGGATCCTGCACAGAAACAGAATGGTTAGAGAAAGTAATGGTGCAAGTGAGGGAGAGGATCAACTTACTAATAGAAATTAAGTTATAAGGGATGCCAGGAATGTAATAGACAGATGTCAGGGCCAAGGTAGAGGTCGGACGAGCTTGTCCAATCCCACGAACTGGGGCTTTGGTTCCATCCGCAAGGGTAAAAGACGGTAAATGATCAGAATAAGTAAGAGATGTAAAGAGGTCCTTATTACCACAGAGATGATCGGTAGCACCGGAGTCAAATATCCAAGTGCCAAGTGATGTAGAATGAGAAACACAAGCAACGGGATTACCAGTATAAGGCTGAGACTGAGGAGAAGCCTTCCTGAGAGGGGTTTGGAGTGCAGCATAGTCCGAACCTGAACCAAATGATGCATTGTCTGACTGAGCTATATTTGCAACAATAGAAGGAGAGTTAACCTCCGAGAGATCAAGAGATGCTGCTGCCATTTAAAGATAAAATATAAAAGCCGTAAACGAAGGAAAACGATATCCAATCAAGGAGAACCATGCGTCTAAGGTCAGACCCACAGAGAAACAATCACAGATCTAGAAAGGGGAGGAGAAGGCGAGCTTCTCTGTCCAAGGCCGGCCGGAAAAAGCCGCCGGAGTAGTGCACACGCGCCGGCAGAAGGTGGCGCGTGGGCTGGTGGCGCGTGAAGCCCACGCGCAGAGAAGACAGGTGGCGCGTGACGGCGCGTGGGAGATGCGTTGCTGACCGGACCACCACAGACCTGGTCGCCGGGAAGAGAGGGTCTTGATCGCGTGAAGTTTGGTCGGAAAAGTCGCCGGAAAAAGTCTCCGGTGGCCTGAACAGTGATTCTGACGGCGGGCGGTGGTTCCGGTGGCCGTCGGAGGTGCTGACGCGTTTGGAAATATCACTCAGAGGCTGTTTACAGCCCTAGAAGGCTTGCCGGAAGGACGCACGGCAAGAAAGAGGACTCCTAAGCAGTGGGCTTAGGTTTTAAAGCAAAAAACAAGGTTTCTAAGCAGAAGCGAGGGTCCTCAGAACGAAAGAGCTCTGATACCAACTTGAATATAAAATAATATGTTGTGTATTGATCTAATTTAGAGGGTTACAATATATAGAGACTCTAATGGGCTTAAGTGAAAGGCCCAAACCTAATACAATCAGAATTAATTACAGACTAATCATATCTAATCATAATAATTACAGACTAATCATATCTAATCATATTTAATATTTTCTAACAGATACATATAATTTTTTAAATGCCCCCGACTGGGATTGATTTTCTAATTGCATTAATAAGCAGTTCTTGTATTTTTGTTGTTAACTTCATCTGTCTCATGATGTCATCTTATTTATAATTTTTTCATAATATTTCTGCAGGTTTCTGTAAAAAATTGTATCTCATCTGATTTGACATCATCAGTGACCTCTACTGGAGATGTTGCTGCTGGCTTTGCGGGTGTTGATGTCCATTGTGTTGATCAACAACCTTACCTTTCTTCCACTGGATATTTTCAACAACCAGGTCTGCATGAATCGGAAGTTCTGCCTTGTTCATCAGTCTCAACTTCTTTTGGTGTACAAAATGAAACTGTCAATGGTTCCGTAATTGCAAAAAATGATCCAAAATGTTCTGGTTTTGCCAAGCCAAATAGCTTAAACTCTACAAATAGAAATGGCAATTTAACCAGTGCATTATCCAAGACTGTGGCTGATACAAAGAAAGATATCAAAACTCTAAACAAGGTGATCAGTTAGAAGATTATGATGTTTCGGATATTTTATGATATCACTAGTTATCGCTGCTTCTTGTTTATAAATTCATTTTGTGGGATGGTAGAGTTCATGATTTCATTATGAATACATAGAAAGGTATTATTGTCATTGTGTCGTTAATATCCGCTTCATTTATTTGGATAATTTGAAAAGGAAAGTTTTCTCCTGGTCCTTGTTTGTCACCATTAGTATTTTTTGTTTTACCTATATTATATCTACTTATCCAAATAAGAAAAAGATAAAAAAATTCCATAAACCTAACTTTATTTTTTAAGCATTTTTTATTTTCATGATAACTGCTGTAGAACTATGATGTTTTAATTGTGTGAATATTTTATTTTGCAGGCTCCTCATTTGCATTCTAATTTTACAGCAGCCAGTCTTCCAAGGACCTACGACCAAATGGGAAAATTTTCATCATTAGCCAACCCAAGACACAATGTCTTCCCCCCTACTAACCGCAGGCCGTATGCCTCTATTACCTACGGACCAAATGCATCTACAAACTACAGGCCAAATGCCTCTACTAACTACCAGCCAAATGGGAGAGTATCTAGTGTAAATGATAGATTTTTGTTGAGTGACAAATTCAGGAGTGGACAATCTGAAATGTCAATGGAAATGACTCGTGGTCCTCGGGGTCATTACAGCAATTTTCCTCTAAAATCGTCATCCGTTAAGGAGGAGTTTGCGATCACAATCTGTAGAGATCGATATAACCTTTCAGATTTCCAAACTGAATATGAAACTGCAAAGTTTTACGTGATTAAATCTTTCAATGAAGATGACATTCATAAGTGCATTAAATATGATGTTTGGACAAGTACTCCATCAGGAAATAAGAAGTTGAACTCAGCATTCCTTGATGCAGAAGCTAAATTGGGACAGACAGGCACAAAATGTCCAGTCTTCCTCTTCTTCTCAGTGAGTTCTAATCTTTGTCCACAAGTTGTATCTTGTTTTTCTTCAGAAGAAGTGTGACATGGAAAAAAGAAACTCATTTTTTAATAGAAATTTTAGATATTGATATCTTGTTTGGAGGTATCTTCTACTTCATTTTATTCTCTTTATTGAATTTAAATTATCTTAGAAACTCATTAGAAGAAGATGAACCGGTTCATGTTTTCCTTTGTATTTATGTCTAGCAATTGCCAAAAATCCATCGCTTCTTGGATTATCTGATTAAATATCCAAAAAAGTAAAAATAAAAATGTTTTGTTCCAAATTATAAAATAGGAATATCTCTGTTCTAGGTTTATTTTATTTGTCATTGACAATTATGTATCAGCTGATATATATTGTAGAATTAGGGGTTCATTTTCTTAAATCTTTATGATTATAAATATTCATTGATCAGGGCTGTGTACTGTTATCAAATCAGGTTAATGCCAGCAGGCAGTTTGTTGGAGTAGCTGAGATGTTTGGGCCGGTGGACTTCAATAAAGACATGAAATTTTGGAAACTTGATAAATACAATGGGTTCTTCCCAGTTAAGTGGCATATAATAAAAGATGTTCCTAACAACCGGTTGCAGCATATCATCCTTCAAAACAATGAGAACAAGTCTGTAACTTACACTAGGGACACACAAGAGGTAATTCACTAATTCTTACTTTTGATGTTGTTAAAATGCACCTTTACATGCTTGAATTGTGAAAAGATCGTGCCAAATCTGAGCTACCCTGAATTATTTAAGTTGGGTCTAGTTGTTATTTACTGACTGATAAAGAAGGTTGTGAGTAGTGTGTACTGTGTAGAATCTGTTTGTGTAAATGACATAACTCATATACAACAGTGAGTCAATGTTCTTGTGACTTTTAAGTGAAAAAATTTATTTAAAAGGAAGGTAAATCTCTATATGCATCAAATACAATCTAGGTGTTGATTATTTCCAATTTTTTCTGGAGAATTATTTATTTATTTTGGATTTTGTAGGAACTGTGATCTTTTATTATTTCTTTTGTTTCTTCCGTTAATTTTCACTTCTTTTCTTGGTATCAAAGCTGCCTCCTACAGATAGGATCAACATTAATATCACCTTTATCCGAAACTAGTTGGGTTTAATGACAGATGAACCCAAATGAAAAATATGAAAAGATTGAGGAAAAAAGAGAGGATAAAATAATATTAAAAAAGAAAATATATAAATAACAGTTGAATTAAAAAAAAAATAGCAATAAACAATTATAAAGAAAATTAAAATAAAATAAGTGAAAATAAAGATAAATAAGAGAGAAAAATACATAAGAGAAAAAAGAAAAGAAAAAGTAAGTAAAAATAGGAATAAAAAAATTAAAGAAATAAGAGAAAAATAATAAAAAAAAAAAATTAAGAGAGGAAAAAAAGAAGAAAAAGGGAGAGGTAAAGAAAGAAATGAAGTGAGATATAGGGGAAAAAGACTAAAAATGTACCATTTGGAACATAGGAAGAAAAAACAGGTCTAACCCTCCATCATGCTAATAACTTTCCTCCAATCCGTCCTTCAGTTAGGATGGTGTATATAAAATAATGGCATTTACATTGTTTATATGAATATTATTTTAGTTTTTGACTCAATGTTTTGTTAGACATGGTTTATCATTAAATTTGTAATTATCTGGTTTGCAGATTGGACTGAAGGAGGGTCTGGAGATGCTGAATATCTTTAAAAGTTATCCGGCTAAGACATCTCTATTGGATGATTTTGACTTCTATGAGAAGCGAGAGAAGTTATTTTGTTCCCAAAGGAGTACCAAGCATACAAGCCCAGAACAGGAGGAGGTATATGGCAATGACAATCACCAAGTAAGTCCCATTTCCATTCAGGAATGCTTCTTAATTATTCCTGCAATTGGAGCATAGAAGATATGTGATTGCATTAAGTACACACAATTGGAATATTGTAATGCCATATTAAATTAGTCGTTAGGTCTTCCCTTGCATGCTTTAATAACATTTTTTGGTGTGTTCTTATGTTGAGTTGTACGTTTGTGATCGTTTGTCTTTTAATTTTCTGCAGAATACTGTCCAAGCAAGAGAGAAGAAAATAGATATGCAATCAAGTGGTACCAAGCAAGTTACTCTGGTCAAACTTACCGAGAATCTCTCTCTCAATCCCTCTGAAAAACAAGGTTTTCCAACAACCAGATTGCAAGATGACCAAAAATTAGAAAGAAAAGATAGCTAGATTTTTTATTTCTGCACATAGGCATTTTTAGAGTTGCAGAATTGAGGTTTGGTTTGTTTAGAGCTCCTCCCGCGTTCGTCTCTTTGCTAGTTATTATTTATATGGTATGATATACTTGATACGTCAAAAAGATTGTCATAGCATATTTTAAGTTCGACCACTTATTATTTTTATATTATTTGATGTTGATGTTTGGCATTGACAAGATTATTTAAAATAAGGAGGTATTTGATATCATGGTTCGATGTCTCCTGGCCAACAATTTTGTTTGTTTTATATGATGGTCTTTCTTCCTTCTTTTTTTTTTAGTACTGAGGAATTGTCTGCCCTCGAATAGAAGAATCAAACTTGGATCAAGCAAGTAGATTTTTTTTACTTATGAGTGTAAAAATTAGTTTTCCCAGTCTCTCCTGATTAGTGGAGACCTTGAAGTTTGTCCACAGCAAACCGGATTTGTTTGTAAGGAAGATAATTGTTTCTTTTGCCAAACATACTTGTTAAATTGTATCTAACAAATTTCTATTTTTAATTTCGCATTTTTCGCGTGTTACGTTCGGCCATTATTCGTTAGAAGGGCCTCCCTTAATTGTTGAAGGCTGCGCTGAGTTTTTTTTTTTTTTTTATATATATATACAAATGGAAATTAAACACATGATGTGATACAACCCGTCCAAATTCCTGACGTGGCTACGCTGAGTTTTGGAGATAAACAGAAATGCACTGCATTATGCTTATTAGGGCCGTTTGATACGAGCTATTTTTTAGGATTTTCGAAAAATTAAGGGTGATAATCATATTTATTCACGTTTGGTAACAAGTTTTTTTAAATTTTTTCGAGAATCTGATTTTCTTGTGTGTAATTTTTTTTGAAAATACCATCCAGAATACCATTCAGGGAGTGGTATTCTAGAATTTCTATAGCAAGAAAAAATTTAATACAATTAAACATAGCATTAAGAAAATTAATCTAATATTTCCGAGAATATTTTAGTCTATGAAACACTTTTTTAGTAACATTCTCATAAAATTTATCTTCCTATCATATTTCTGAAAATCTGATTCCCGAATAAAAAAAAATTGTCCTTTCCCATACGCTTATTTGCGTTAACAAACCTGTTTTTTTTTTTTAATAAAATAAATAACAACATGACAAAAAATGAATAAATTTTAAATTATTTTTTATTCAATTATATTTTAGATGAAGGAAAACATCAACGACATCAACAAAATGGTATCGCGTAGTTGTGAGGTTTGAGTAAAACCCTCAAAGCGTTGTTGGTGTTAGTTGAAAATTGAGTAATCAATGACACAGAATCCGAAGCACAGAGTGGGATGTAGTGGTAATAGTGATAGGCCGTCGAAGATATCAAGAATTGAGTATCTTAGCGACGGTGACCGTGATAGTGAAGAGGAAGAAGAAGAAGAAGAAGAAGAAGAAGAAAAGGCGGTGATTGGTAAGCAAGAGGAAAGCATGAGCCAAAACCCTAGAATCCAACGTTATTTGGTCGCAATTGAGTATATTGGTACTCGCTTCTCTGGTTCACAGAAGCAGCTCACTTGCCGTACCGTCGTCGGTGTTCTTGAGGTAATTTTGATCCAATATCGTCATTGAACACACCCACATTTCCCAAAATTAATGTGGTTTTTTATTCTTTCTATTTGATGATTTCGTCAAATGTTTTATGGTTGTTCCTGTAGGAGGCTTTTTGTAAATTTGTTGGCCAGCCAGTCTCTGTCACTTGTTCAAGTCGAACTGTGAGTATCACTGTTCCTATCTTTCTGTTTTTTTATCTATCTGTCTATCATTTAGCATTAAAATAGTATTGTAAGTGCAGGATGCTGGAGTGCATGCCTTGTCAAATGTTTGTCATGTAGATATTGAACGGATCAGTAAAAGGAGGCCTGGTGAAGTGGTATGAATAATGATACATAAAACTCAAGTCTCTTTCTGTTCTGCACAAGTGTCTGTCTTGCTTCGGGTGAAAACTTTGACCCAAACAATTATATGTTTCTCTTGTGATGAACAACTTCATTTGACAAAATGTTGCCTCAATCTACTGGGAGAATGGAATGTGTCTTCTGTCAACAAAGTTGAGCTAAACAAGGTCTCCATGCTTGTTATAACCATCTTTTATTAATAGTACTCTGTCTGCACGAGGGAAATAACTTGTTATGACTTAGTTTTTCATAAACATCTTCAATGTATTAATTAATATTCATATTGATGCTTAGCAGCTAGTTTCAGAATCTTATTTGGCTGCCAGTTTTGCATTTTCCCCATATGTGTATGAAGCAGGATGTGGGCTCCCATCAATTTTTCAATTGCTAATTGACTTCACTATTTTTTTATTTTATTTTTTCATTTATTGATTGAGTGTATTGATTAAATTGACAAAGGGGAATGCCTTTGGTATTATTTCTTACTAACTTCCTTTTTGTGAAAATATAGTTACCACCTCATGAACCTGCTGTGGTTAGAAGGGCTGTGAACCATTTCTTACAGGTGTGTTCTTTTATGATCTAGTAAATTCTAGATGATTTAAATATGGTGTGTCTTCTGTCTTTCACAAATGCTTGATCTTGTTACATATTGTAGAAGAAGAAAATGCTAAGACAGTTTGGTTCTGCATCTTCTTTTTCTCTCTCCAGTACTGATATCTGATTATGTCCAATTTTGTTGTGATTTGTCATTAAGCAATGTCCATGACAAATAATAACTCAATGGGACATCTAACATGCTTTTGAATTTCAGCTGGCTGCAAACAGTGCATGGTTGCAATATCCACCAACAATTCCTAAGCCATGGGATTTTTTGTTATTGGCTCAAAATAAGTTGATATAAATTGCAATTTACTTTTCATCATCCTATGCTTGAAAGTGTCTCACTCTTATTGAACTGTCTGCAAAGTGCATCATGTAGGCCTAAACTTGCACCACAGCTAATGCCAGAGTTATTGTCTATTGTACATTCAATATGAATTTTGCTAATGCTTTTAAATCATTGTTACAGAAATTGTCCTTTTAAGAGTAGATGTTGGCATGCTGTTTGTGATAGCTTTCCATCCGTGTGGATTCTTAATTCTTATGCTTAGAATGAGCTTAACTTAAACTTTATAATGTATGTCACGGGAAGATATTTAATAATTCTTATAGAGTTTGTGTGCCAAAGTTTCTTATCAACTCCATGTTTTACTTGAAAATACAAAGTTGGAGTTAGAGTTCCCAAAACCTACACTGTTTCTGAAATTTCATGTATTAGCTGATGTCACTTGAGTATATTGTCTGTGCTCAGAAGCTCCTGACTTTATTTTTTTGCCATTTGATTTATTTTAGAAGCATGACAGTGACTTAATGGTTATCGATGTACGATGTATTCCATCTGATTTTCATGCCAGATATAAAGCACAAGAGCGCACGTGAGTACTGATGAATCTAGATTTTGTTTCAAAATCTGTGTTATGCATGCATTGATTATTGATTTCATAAATGTACTTAATTATATCTAGAATCACTGACTTCTGTAAAGTTATATTTGATATAAGACTTTCATTCTTTGCTGATATTTGGTGGATTATAGATGGAGGAGTTGTTTGATCTATGAAATTGTACTTTGTTGTATATAATTTTGACAGCTAAGAATATCACAATGAAGTTTATCTTAGATTTTATGATGCTGAAAACTTTTCCAGGCATTGCCATAGAATTCCGTTTTGTTTTGTTTATGATCACTTGTAGGAATTGATAATTATTTGGATCTTCCATTCAGATACTTCTATCGCTTGCTGTCTGGGCCAGAGCCTTTGTCAACCTTTGAGAAAGATCGTGCATGGCATGTACCTGAGGAGCTTAATCTTCCCGCTATGCAAGTCAGTTAACAGTTCCTTATATTTACTAGATTATTATGATCTCAGAACTACCTGATAGATGAGTTATTAATGATATCCATGCAGGAAGCATGCAGAGTTCTTGTTGGACACCATGATTTTAGTTCCTTCAGGGCAGCTGGTTGTCAGGTTGTTTCTTTTCTCCAATGTTGTAAACAATAATTTATCAAGATAAAATTCAAAGTTTTCGATGCAACGCTCTTTTATATTCCTCTGAGGGATGATGGGGCCTGCACTGCATACATTGATTTGTTTGATGAGCTTCAGAATTATCAAATAGCAGTCATTATTGAGTTGTTATTTAAAGGATTTATTTTAGTTTAATGCTCTTTGTATTTCTTTTTGAAATTAGCATCCCTGTTTTGAAGCTCTATATCATATCATGTGAAGCCTATTTGAACTATACATAACCTATAACGTAAAATTGCCCCATTACAGGCGAAATCACCAATTAGAACTTTAGATGAACTCAGTGTCAGTGAGGTAATTCAAAGTCCATATTTTCCATCTCTAATGGATAGAGAACGACATAATAAAGTCAGCAATGATTGTCATGGCTGCCACAGCAACTCTGAAAGTGACATTCCTCTTAGCTCCAGTGCCAGCATTGATAAAGTAACGACATCATGTGAAGATGTAGGATTTGGCAAAAGAAGGCAGCATCGTTGCTTGGTGGTAACAGCACGTGCACGTTCTTTTCTTTACCATCAGGTTGGGTTTTTTCCTTTTGATTTAGGCTTCTAAATTCTATGTTCTGCGTTGTGAGTTAATCCTGCATGCACAGTCCATTTTGATCTGAATACAGTTGTTAATTCATTTCAGGTTAGACTACTTCTTGGTGTTCTCAAAGCTGTTGGCACTGGAAACTTGACAATTCCAGACGGTACTCATGCCTCTCATATCTATTCACGTGTGTTAATATATGTCCATAGACACTTGATTTTTTATTTTATTTTTAATATGCTGATTTGGGCTAGAAATTATCTCACACGGTTTACCATTTCAGTTGAAAGAATTTTGAATGCGAAGACTGTAACAGCCGCAAGTCCAATGGCCCCAGCATGTGGTCTCTACCTGGGAGAGGTAAAATATGATCTACCTTGTTAGCAGACAATTTTGGTCCCGGAAACCCGCCATGGACTCGAGTCAAGCTCCATTTAGGTGTCAAACCAATGGTACTGAATTAGTCAAATGTTTAAGTGTACTATTTATGAAAGAATTTTATTTCATTCAAAAGTCCACTAGCAGTGGAATTTTTCCTTTGTATCTCCAATTTTCGTATAACAATACCCTGACGATTACTTTCTTTCTTTTTTTAAATTAAAAAGGAATAGTATATTTTTTATATTTTTTTTATGTTTATCTTACCTACTCATCTCTAATACCGTTAGATTAGAATAAGTAACATTGGCATAAAAAAAATAAGCATAATATTCAATTCCATTAAAAAAAATTGTATAAAAAGTCTTTAGCAAACTCCTCCAACTTTGCGAGCCGTTAGGTTAGGTCGGTTATACCTTTTCTAAAAATTGCAAATAGAAAAGTTAAAAAGATTGTGGATTTCATATCTGCCGGCAGAGCTTCAAGGGTTAAAAGCAAATTAACGAGTTAGAATCTATCTAATCAATCCATTGCCTTGCCTTTAGAGGCCGTCAGTTATCAGATTTTAAAGAAAGTAAATGTAACTTCTTGTGCTTTTTCTGTTTAAGTAAAAGCTTAAGTATAGAATCTCAAAGCTAGTCAAACAGTGTAAATATTTTTATTTAAAAAATAAAATATAGACCAGCGCTTTAATATTAACAAGATTACCAGACAGCATGAAACTTAGTACTACTTGAGCTATGATTGCAAGTGGCGTGCTATTATACTTTTATTAAATAAAATGGTATTATGCACAAATTTTTGTATAGATTTCTCATTTTTAACCCGAAAAGCAAGAAACAATAATTGAGTATAATCAAACTTAACAATCAATTATGATTCTAACCTAACAAAAAAAAAATTGATTTTACAATATTATATATTATCTTATCTGTAAAATTCTTGCGTACAAAATATAACTCCAAATTTAGAATTTAGAAGAAAAAAACTGAAAATTAATTTTAGCTTTTGTTACGGTATTAATATGCTTATGCTGATGTCAAAGTAAAAAGAAAACGAAGGGAAAGAACGAACAGAAAAGGGAAACTACAAAATGATGGAACCCAGAGAATTATAACTACGTATTTACTAAATCAAGAGATTACAAACACTAATTCAAAATAAAATGCAGAAATTAAACACCAAAAGACCTCACTCACCCTCAAGCCAATATACCTAAACTAAAGAGATCCTATCACAAAACTCCACTCCAAATATTCTGAATACAAGCATACCCTCCCTACACTAATTCAAGAGATTACAAACACTAATTCAAGATAAAATGCAGAAATTAAACACCAAAAGACCTCACTCACCCTCAAGCCAATATACCTAAGCTAAAGAGATCCCAAGAGATCCTTTCCCAAAACTCCACTCCAAATATTCTGAATACAAGCATACTCTCCCTACACACTCAGCCTCCCTTTTATTCTATATTTTAGGAATATTCTAGAATAATTTCCCTATCAAACTAACTAATTCACTAACTTTTAGGCCCATAACCCATCACAAAATCTGCTATTGCTCTGAATAAATAGTGATTATCATACACTTATCAATGAAGGCTTATCACCTAAAATATTAGCAATTTAGGCTGCTAGAAAGTAGTGTGAAGCGATTAAATCAAAAAAAGCTACTTCATGAAAGTCCCAATAGCTGCGTGAATTGAACTAGTACTAGCAGAATTTCTTTGCTGTATTAGTGAATGCGGTCCACTCCAGATAGACTGATTTTTGGGGAAGAGAATTCCACATAAGCTCGAAAGCTTTGGGTTTTCAAAACATAAGCTCTCAAGCAGCTTAGCTTTCTGATGTTTATCTTGTGACTCCTACAAACAGATTTTAAATTATTAAGTACATCTTGCAACTGCAGATATGCAAATAATCATAATACTAACTTGATGCAATTGCTTGCATGAAGGGTAAGCAAATATTGTAATTTCCTGGATCAAATAGTGTTTGCAATACCTTGTGCTTCTGTTGCGGGATTACTTGAGCTTGTTCTTCTTGTTGCTTCGATTTATATTCATCATGAAGAACAGTTGCATCTCCAACATTTGATTTCTCTGCCAAGGTTCCACCATGCTTTAAAGTTTCATCTGTATCTCTCTTCTGACTGTCCATTTCGTTCTCTTCCTCCTCTTCTTCCTCTCCATCCTCCTCCTCTTCCTCCTCCCCTCCTTCCTCTGGACCATGATCCTCATCGTTGTCATCATCATCAACATCATTGTCCTCGTGCTTTCCTTCAGAAGGGCTACACTGCTTCTCACTAGTCTCCATCTTCACCACCTCTCCTTTGTCCTCCTGTGCGTCTCCATCAGTGCCCAAAGATTCATCCGTATTTGATGACGAATCCTCCCCACCAGGGCTCTCTACAAGCATTGATTCCTTCAAAAAAAAAAAAGTTATAAAACTATTGAAGTTATTTGTCCACTTATATTACATGCTAGTTAATACTTGGATTTCATGGCCAAATACAGAAGTATATACTTAGATTTCTTCAGTGCTTGTGCTCTACCCTCATTTAATTTGTGGGATTAGATACTCCCAAAGGTAATGGAAATCAAACGGGAGAATATCATCTTCATGCCACTTAACAAAACATTGTTTAATGATAATTGGCATAATGAATAGCACCAAGGCAGGTAAATAAAGCCAATCCAGCCATATTCTTTTCTATCATTTTCTAAATGAATTTACAGTATAATAACCATGAAGAAAAATATCATATCAGGAAAATACATGCAAGCTATAAAATATAATAAGTAAATCTGTTGCCGTCAATCCATCTTTTCAGTCAAGAATTTTACCATAGTGAGACATGATACATACCCTAAAACAGCCTCCAAAATTTCCAGATATCAATTTGAAAGGATAAAACGTAGGCAATAAACCATTACAATACCTCTTGCTTAAACTCTTTAGCATGCTTATCACCACCATATCCAAAATTGCCTTTAGCAATTCGGGCATTCTCCTCCCGTTCTTTCCTACGGCGCTTTAGCACACAAATAGCACATAAACAATCATGTTTATGGTGTCTTCTGCAAATATGATAAAACTCAAGCACGTAAGTCATTTAACCAGTATCCATTAACAATTGTCACAATCAATACAACGGAAACTGAAAGGATGGAGAAAATGAGTTAAAAGCAAGGTAAACTTTATCAGAAGCTCATCATTTATGAAATTAATATCTGTTTTAGAATCATCCAAGTTTACAAAAAAACTAAAAGATACATTTTACAGAACTGATGCTGAAGGAAATGCAAATTCCCAAAGTAAACAAAAGTTTCTCTTTCCTTCTATCTTACTTAAGATTTATAGTTCACTTTAATGAAAAATACACGATCAGGCATTTATCAAATTTTCGGAAACAAGTATATTAGTCTACAATCTATTTGTGAACTTGCATTGTTGACTTGATCATAATACACACGAACACATTATCAAGAGATTTCATTTAGTTTACGTGATATTAACTCAGTCATTTCCATTATAAGAGCAATTACCACATAAGGAATTATACTATCAAATAAATAAGGTTAAGTTGCAGTTTTGGAATACACACCCATGACGTTTTTTTGTCTTCTGCTTCAATTGACTACCCTTTCCTACTTTTCCATCACCAGACAGTGCAATATCTTCTGCTGTAGTGCTCTCTAAGCCTGATCCATAACAAAAACATATGCGCACATTGCTATCAGAATACCGTGGTGTAATATTTTACTTGAAATGAAAAATCGCCTGTTTTCAGAAGATTATGCAAAAGTAAACCACTATCCTTCATCTCCTCTAGAGGGTACAAAATACACACAAGAAACATGAATGATTTGTTTTCCACTTCTTCCCTTGCAAAAGTAATTTTGTTCTTAATTTGTGGGGTAGGGTTATGACCTGTTCAGATAAGAGAATTGGTTGCTTTGGTAGGAGCATCGCAGATTGTCTCCAAGGGTCTAGCTCGAGTTTATATAAAAAATTCAAGAGGAAGTTGAAATAGAATTTATTATCATTCTAAAAATTCATAAATGTCAGTAAGTTTTGGTGGTAGATTTATGAAAATGAAATCTTTAAAAGGTATATTGCTTAAAATTTCTCAATTTCGAAATTATAAGATCTGTCATTTATTGCCTCTCATCCACAGAAAAACAAAAAAACAAAATAAAAGAGGAGCACACATAAGGCAAAGGCAGAGGGAAAACATGTACACAGAAACGAAGCCTACACAACCATCTATTCAAGTAGAAGATTCCTCTAACAAATATTGTATAACAAGATTAAAAAGGAACGAAAAGACACATATATTCATACAAATTTCATGCAAAGCAGATCCTGATAAAGCACATCCAAGAGGGACATCACTAAATGCTTTACATCTATCATCCTCACAGAAAAAAATGAAGGGGAACATTTTAATTAGTTAATATATGAACGCCTCACCCTTTGTCCCTTTTGGTTGTTCACAGTATAACCCAGCTGCAGTCCAGTACTTCATAAAGTTCTTCTTTACTCGCCTCATAAGATCCAAGATATAGTCACCCTTATTGTTATATTTATAACAGTTGTCCCAAATGTATTGAACATCCTTAAAGACATCCTCGGAATTCATGTATTTGTCATTCTTTTCAATATTGTTGCATACAGTTCCAAAATCCATTGGTGTGTCTATGATATCAAAATAGTCCTGGTTCCAGACAGCATTATGAAATTAGAAACAAGTAATCATAATTAAAAAAAAAAAAAATTAAAAAAAATCTACTTTTTTGTTCCAAGTTTTACAGTGAATCACATTAGTCTCCATGACTGAAAAAATATATAGATCCATGTAGAATAACCTCTATATCTACCCAGAAAGATAAAGACAGCTAGCACATGTTAACCAATAACCAATATCCATCCAGAGTCCACAGAAAGCAAGTCAAATAAAATCTAGTAATATAATTGCTTTTACTTTTCACTTTTCTTTTTCCTTCATGGTGGGTGAAGAGAAGTTATAGAATTAAACATAATCTCTGAGTATGCATGAGGCAGAAGATTGAGTAAAAGAAATTTAACAAAACAAAATACTGAAAAGGGTGCATACATCAGGCTTAGGGGCGGAAGTTGAGGAAGGAAAATATCTAATGACTTAAGGGAACCCTTTAAAAAAACATGAAAAAGTATCTTGAAGACATTTGTACTTACAGGAATTCCCAGAGCTTCAGGATTAACAGGAACATTGAAGGGTTCAGCAGCATCCATTTTCATTACCTTCCTTATGACCTATACAGAAAAAGAAAAAAAAAAAAACAATTACTCGCTTGGAATGCGTTAATAATTGAAAATGTAATGCTTGGTAACCAAAAAAACTAAAATAAGAAGGAAAACCAATATGAAAGCTCCATCATACCACTAAGGAAGCATCCAATTCCAGCTTATTATATCGGGGATTCTGTTGAGGGGCCTTTCTTTCTTTTGGGTGGGTAATCTCCGTGGAAACTGACAAAGTTTTGCCTGTCTGGTCAGCATTTGATCCTAAGACCTTTGAAGACTTAATTTTTATACTACCAGCTCTCTTTGATGGAGTACCAAATTTTATATCAGGCAATGAATTAGCACTATCTTCCACTCTCTCCACATTGAGACCTCGTTTCTCAAGCCCCAGTTGTTGGCTACTCTTATCAGTATCACTTTGTGTGGGAGCTTCGGATGAGGTGTGTTGTGAGTCCAGCATTTTTGGTGTCCTGAGCTTCACCTTAACACGCCCTACCGTCTTCCCCGCAGCCTTATCAATGGAACCGTCAGGATTTATGTTAGCAACATTGTAATGCTGATCAGTCCCCGTAGAAGAAGGTGTGTCAACTTCCATTCCACAGTTATCTTTATCTTTACCAAACTCTTCCAAACCAGAGCTTTCTTCCTTACGTTGATTACCACTGATTACAGGGTTGGTGCTTCCTTTTGGCTTCCCTTTCTTATGACCACGCTTGCGCTTCATCTTCTAATTTCTAAGCAAATACCCCCTTTGCTCTAAAACAAATTAGAGACCACAGTTCAATCACCAAACTATAAAAGTACTAAAATTTATGCATCCCAATGTCATTAGAAACTTGTAAAACAAAGTACCAAGCACAAAACCTGTGTGATTTTCATACTAACATACGTTTCCCATGGACAAAACCAAGATGTGAATGAAAAGGTTATGATTTTAGCGAAATGAAACTAAAATTATCAACTAAGACAATTAAAACATCAAATAAAGATTATATCTTTGAAGACAAGGAAACAAATTACAAAGTTGAGCAGGGCAATTACAAGGAACAAAAATATCGTACGAAGATGTGGGTGTCTTTCGATTGAACAAGTGACCGAAAAGTAACTACGGAGAATTTCGATGCGTCTCAGAAAGTCGTTAGATGTAAGGCACAGGCACCGGCACCGGTGGCTGCAAGCCTTTCAGTTAACGGTGTCCATGGGGGAACAACACGACGCCATAGGAACACGAAACTCCATCTGAATCTTTCTCAGCTTTAAACGCTACGTTTCATTAGGTTCTAGAGGTTTTTCTTTTAAAAGAAATAAATTTCTTTATAGATCTTTAAAGATTATTTAAAATTGGAATGATTTTAAAGATTTTTTTATTAAATTTTCGTAAAGTTGAATTTTAATAGAATTTATAAGATTTAAAATGACAATATTGATTTAAAAGATTAAAAAAATCATATGAATTTTTAATAAATATTCAAAATTACAATAGTCAAAAGATAAATAACAAAGAAATACAATAATATTAATAAAAAAGTAAATTAAATATAATTTTCTCAAATAGTAATTTGATGTAACTTAATATTTTAATAGAACAATAACTATATTAAAGAAAATATATATTATAATAATAAAAATGATAATATAATATTATTATGATTAGATAATTATCACATACATTGAAATAAGGATAAAACCTTGTGCTATCTCTTATTTTAGTAGGCACAACAAGTCCTCGTTGAACCATCAAATTAGATGTTATTAAATTCAAGGACTTCACAACAAGTCCCTTATTTTCACTTGCAGCAAATTGTGATCAGCTAAATGTATTTAGACAATATTGAATACTTTTGGTCAACAATTTGCAAGAATAATGCAAGTATTTCTTCAACGGAGATAAATCTTATATCCTTTAAAGATATTTTTCTTTAAGAATTGTGCATAACTTACTGAATACATTTGGATATATATTATGGGTTCGTTTTTTCTAAAGTTATTTTAGACAACTTTATCTAATGTTCATCGAAACGATGTCGTTTTGGGACGAAAATCATGGTATATTTGTAATTTTAATATATTTCAGGGTTATAATAGTCTTTATCATTCTAATTTTTTAATTTTTCAACCTTAAAATGACGTCGCTTCTGTGAACCTTAGACAAAATTGTCTAAAGTAACATTAGATACTTTTTTCCCATATGTTATATACATTCTAAACTAATAATTTATAAAATATTTCCTTTCCTTTTAACCATATTTTTAATGCTTCCATGTCATTTTTATGCATTGATTAATGGAAGTGTCAAAAACATGTTCATAAAGTATGCATTTGTTATTGAAAATAATGATAATGATTAGAGAATATGATAGCTGATTATCTCAGTATCATCTTTGGAAGAGAATTAAATTCTTAATTCTGAGACCCTCCTTGAATCGAACTAATCGTAAAGCTATAACCAATTAAAATATTTGAAAAAAATAAATAAAGATGGTAACTTCGATGTTATAGTCATAAAATTTTGGGCCAACCTTGCTACGAATAAAACTAGGGGAACATGCTTGATAATGCAGGAGTCTTGTTCTTTTTTTGAAGTTAACCCTAGTTATTTCTTTGAAACGAGTTAACTCTTTTTGATATCTTCACAAGCTTAGACTCTTTTTAAGTCGATTTCGAGTCAGAGATAAAAATATTTAAACTCCTTCCAAAAATAGCATATGTGGATCGAACCGAAGTCTTTTTCTTTCCATTTACTTAGCTCCTTTGCTACCAACAACTACCACTATTTGGTGTCTTTCCCTTTTTTTTGGATCTATGCTTTCAACATTTCATCTCGCGTATTAGCTAAGTCCACAATACAAATTTGAATTCTTCATATGGAATATGTCCTTTGGATCTATGTTTATTTCATAAAACAGGAATGTCAAAATCAGAGAAAATACATGAGAGTAACACACTTTAGCTTTGAGAAAATGTTAGGGTAGATTGTAAGACAATGTAATAGAAAAACCTCAAAAAATCTCAAGAGTTAGGGTGAGATTGTGAGAAAGACATACTATTTATATTTCTCACTAAACGTCTCACAAAATTCACACTAATAAAAAATTCATTAAAATCGACAAATTTTTGAATACAACAAGATTATTTTTCTTTTGTTCAAAATCTTGATTGAATATTAGGTGACTTTTTTACTTTCCTTTAAAATCCTAATTGAACACTAATAAATTTTTTTATCCAAAAATAATCCATTAAAATCTCAATTCAATAGATCCCTTAGTTTTTATTTTTCTTTTTACTTTGGTAAACTCCACGTGGTTTGTACGTGTTGGACAAAAAGTCCCCATGTTACACACAAGAAATATTCTTGTATGCTTTCCCGCAAATCCTGTATATTAGTTAATGGATATGCCAATGAAAAAATAAATTATCTTCTTTTAAGAACATCTATATCCATTAGCATATCTAAATGTTTGGTTTTATCAGTTTTGAAATTTGCTTTTATATATTAGTTAATATATATGACAAAAAATTGAATAGAGATTACATTTGAGAAGATATTAAATTGTAGAGAAAGGATAAAAACAGGGGAAACAAATTGTTTATATTTAATTGTTTGTGCCCACGATTAGAAAAAAAGGCTTATATTAACTGTAATCTGCTGCATCAAGTTGGAACCTTGACACGATGATATTGACAGAACTCATTAAGCAATGACAAATCTACCACAAATGTGCTTTTCTTCCCCCAACTATAAAAAACCAACAAAATCTTTGATAGCATTCAATCATGGAATAAGAACCATAGGTTCTAAAACCTTTTTGGTCCCCTTCTTACGTTTTCGCATGTTATTTGTGAGGCTACTGGGTGCAAAGCTTGTACGAAAGTTGCGTTTTTGTTTCGGTTTTATCCTTTTTAGTTTCGTAGTCTACTATTGTGGATTCAAGACACGTATCTTAAATTTAGAGGATTACGCAATTAAAAGCCGTGTGCGCAGCGCATATTGCAAACATATGATTTTTTTTTATTTTTTTTTTTGGTATGCAAACATATGATTTAACGTATTCAATATTTGAACTTGTTTCGAGGAAAGTGTTTATAATTGGGATTGAATTTTCTTTTGATAATTTCACTTATTTAGCGATATAGGGTTTGCAACACTCTTATAAACATATTGAAGTGCCTTAAACCTCTCAACAAATGTATTAATTATTAGGATTCAAGTTTGCAAAAAGACTTGTGTTAGTAAGAAAATTTTCTGGTTACTCAATAATAGAGATTTCGTATGATTAGTGATGTTTCCCCCCTTCCCCCAAAACTATGCTGCCAAGAGTTAGGTAACTGGTATTTGGAGAAATTTAGGGTCATAGGATTCCACGTTAGAAGTCAAACGTTACTGAAGTTTCCTCCAGCCAGTTACTTGCAACACTAAAATTGTTTTATTTAAGCGAAACAGATGATTCCCCTAACCGCCCTAAAATCTGTCCCATTGAACGTACGTAGCATTCCCACACGACACGCATTTTGGTCATAGCATTCTGATAAAAGCAATGCATTTTTTAAAATTACTTTTTAAATCGAGTCTAAAATCAGAAATTATTTACCGGTTTAGAAAGAAATCACATGTGATAATCGCTTTAATTATTAATTTTTTTAACGTTATGAACTCAATGAATGTAGAGTTTCTTCATATATATAATCTCATTCATTTTGTTCAAATGAGAGTCCACATTATTTATTCTTAATTAACTAATTTAATTTTGGTCTCTTAAATTAAAACAAAATCAAGAATTAAAAATTGCACTCTGATAAAAACTGGACCGGATTGGGCCAGTGGGCCGAGTCAATAACGAGTTTAATAATTAATAATATTAAAAAATGGGGTTTGATTTTCTCATGTTGAATGAGAATTCAATTCTCATGTTGTAGAGATAAAAAACATGTGGGACCCACGTGTTAGAAAAAATTATATGTAGGACCCATGTTAACACGAAAATCGAAGGGTGTGTAGGAAAATTTGAATTCTCATGTTGAATGAGAATTATAAAACCCTTAAAAAATAGTACAAGAGTTTTATTAACGGGCAACAAATGTAATTGTTTATTTATTGAAAAGCTAGGTCGTGAAAATTTGCAAATACTCTATTTCGTGGAAAAAGAAGTACCGAGAGGAATCTTTGAAATACATATGACCAAATTAAATAAACACCATATGTATTTTTTTTTCCCCCGGTAACAACTACGTATATTATTTAAAAAAGAATACAAACATGCATTATAAGCACGCACGCGTCCAAGTTCAATTTAGAGGCAGCACATGAACGTTGAATACGAGATTGTCGGAGGTTTGGCAAGAAGGAAACTCAATGGAAACAACATAACCCACGAAGACAAGCAAACACGTTAAGTAATGATCCATTCCTCTCTATCTCTCTTTATATATATATAGAACAGTAGAGGATATACATTGCCCATTAATCAACTTGTATTTCAAATTTAGCCTACTCAGCTCCCCCAACCATACCTTACCCTCTTCTCTCCTAAATTACAAGCATCCATCGATCTGTTGAATTACACACACACACAGAGAGAGACCTCAAACAATGTCATCAAAGTCAGTTAGACAAAGACCAACACCAACACCCACGAAGCAAGCCTCCACATCCGACACATTATCCGACACATTAGGTAATGTTGAGGAGGACAACACCACACCCAGAGGAACATCACCACAGCAACAACAACAACCACCTAAATCTAAATCTAAATCTAAACCAAAAACAAGACGTGCACTCTCACAAACTCTATCGTGTACGGCCAACTTGGCCAACCTGCTTCCAACGGGTACACTCCTTGCATTCCAGATGCTGACGCCGGTATTCACCAACAACGGTTTCTGTGACTCGGTGACGCGCCCACTCACCATGGGGCTCCTCCTCCTTTTGGGACTGTCTTGCTTCGTCGCTTGCTTCACTGACACCGTCAAGACATCAGACGGACAGGTCTACCATGGCTTCGCCACCTTCAATGGACTCTGGCTCTTTGATTACCCGGACCCGGATCCATCTACATCCGGGCTACCCGACTTGAGGAAGTACAAGGTGAGGTTCATTGATTTTGTCCATGCCCTGTTGTCTGTGCTGGTGTTCTGTGCCGTTGCTCTCAAGGACAAGAATTTGTTAAGCTGCTTTTACCCAAAGCCAGAGCATGAAACTCAGGAGGTGCTTGATATTGTTCCCGTTGGGATTGGCCTTATCTCCGCTTTGCTCTTTGTTGTTTTTCCCACCACCAGGCATGGGATTGGCTTCCCTGTTACATCCGGCAAATAAATTCCATCTCTTTTTTCATTTCCCAAATATTAAATGTTTCCTTTCCCTTTTCCTTTTTGTTGTTAATTAACGTTACGCACAGTATATTCTTTCGAATAATCCCTCTCTATCACTTTTATCTATATCTATATTAATTAATATTAATTATTTAACTCCCACACCATTCTTTTGATCAAGTGATATTTTTATCCCATTTTCTGGGTTATTAAATGACTTGCAGGAATCAAATTGGGTTGTGGATTATAGTTTTAAACAACCACCCTCACTTGTTTGTTTTATTATTTAATAATAGCTTATATATATATATATATATATATATATATATATATGTTGACTTTGAGGGCACGTCACGACACATGCATCTATCTTAATTTGTTTCTTTTTAATCGACACATCTATCTCAATTAAAAATTGATGCGTCTTCTAACTTATTCATTCGGCTCACACGCAAGCTGATATCGTTCGCTGTTCCAATCTTGCACGTTAATCTTCGGACTAACCTATAATTATATGACATTGACATTTTTTTGGGTACATGTGCAATATTGGCTTATTAGAATTGGAGTAATTTGGTTTGGAGTATTTTAGAATGAGGGGGAATCTTTTGACTGTGGTACAAGATTAAAAAGTGAAGAGTAAGAGTGTAAGACGACTTCTTCTTAATTTTATTCTTGGAAGTATTCAAGTATGAGTTATAAAGAAGTATCACATCGACTAGACATAGACCAAGTGATGACTATATAAGTGCAAAAAAACCCATAAACCTACAGCCTTAAGGTTTTGGGTTAAAATGTGGTGTCGGCCCACTTATTGTGGTTTATCGCTTGGCCCATGGATGTATCCCTTGCAATGGGTTTTGGGCTCCCCGTACCATTCTCAACAGTGGTATCAGAGCCAAAGGTTTGGCTGGGCCGAAGTTGCCCTTAAGGGGGAGCATAATGTTGGGTCTCATACTTGAGGGGAAGATGTTGGAAGTATTCAAGTATGAGTTATAAAGAAGTACCACATCGACTAGACATAGACTAAGTGATGACTATATAAGTGCAAAAAGACCCATAAACCTACAGCCTTAAGGTTTTGGGTTAAAATGTGGTGTCGGCCCACTTATTGTGATTTATCGCTTGGCCCATGGATGTATCCCTTACAATGGGTTTTGGGCTCCCCGTACCATTCTCAACATTTATACCGTAACGATAAAATCCCTCCACTTTTAAAATTATGTAGATCTAAAAAGATTCTTTTGTTTATAACGAAATATCTTCCTAATCTTATCAGAAGTGAAGGCTGGATTTTGGACTTGGGCCGGCTTCGCTCTCTTTAGGATAAACCTTGGTCAGTAAAATGGGCTAGGACTAAAAAAAGCTCATGTTGCTTAAACAAGAGTAGGTCCAAGAAGAAAACATTCCAGAATCAGGCCATATACCTCTCGCATGCAGCACGTGCACTTAATTTGTTTCTTTTTTGTGATATATTTCTTGACAGAAATTAAGCTAAAAAGTTTCCTAGTCGCATTATGTTGCCAACGATACTGCTGAGGTTATTTTATTTTATTTTTGTAATAATTTCCTGTAATAAGCGATAAATTTTGAGTAACGCTTAGGATGTAATCGCACATTGTCGACAAGAAAGTAAAAAAAAAACCCTAACAAATGAATCCAAAATGTAAGGAAATGGGTAAGGCAATGTATAGGACAATCAAATTCGGCATGTATATATTATTATTATACATATAACAACATAAATACAAAGAAAGAACGTGCACGAACCCACTGTGATTTTGAGCCTCGTTAACCTAAACTAGAGCACTCCTTTAAAAGAAGTGCACAAGGTACTACTAATTATTCCTACACCTCTTTATGGTTACCAAATCTCTATATGACTAAAGTAAAACCTAACCCCCACCCAAAAAAAAAAAAAAAAAGTAAGATTTATGTTCCACATAACAATGCTATTACAAAACAAAGCCATATAATAATGAAATTGAACATTAATTACCCAAAGGAAAAAGGAAATAAAAAAGAAATTACATTATAATTAAACCAAAAGGTCTTGTTTAAAAATGGGAGGACAAGGTTTCTCTTTCTCAAGTTTTTTGCTCTGTGGATGTGTATTGGAATAAGAGGAAGAAGATTGATACTCGGATGATGAGCGCCGAGGAAATTCTGATAGCATCTGAACCACTTCCCTCGTGGTGGGTCTCTCCACACTGTTTTCTTCTAAGCATAACATTGCAATGAAGAACATGTGCATTGCTTCCTCTTTAGGCACCACCGTGAGCCTTAAATCAACTATGTTCATAACCTCTTCTTTGCGCCCATTGGTTGCTTTCTTGCACCATTGTACGAGATCCACACCTTCGCCGAAATCCCCCACCGGTCTCCTCCTTGTTAGAAGCTCTAATAGAACAACTCCAAAACTATAAACATCACTCTTTTCATCAACCCTCAATGTATAAGCATATTCTGCAATCGTTGATCAACCAAATTATATATTAGTTAATGAATTAATAGTAATAAATTACCTTAATTAATATGTAATCTTAAAGAATATAATCACATATACAAATTTTAAGTTTTGAATGTCTTGGCCTTAATTATAGCTGCAATGGCAAATACTAGGGAGCATACCAATAGGCCAAGGGCAAATATTAGCTTAAAATCTGCGGGGCTTTTTCCAGGTGAGGGTGTGATTCTGGTCATATTACAAGGATTGTTCAAGAGAGAACCGCACAGTTGAGGATTACCCGCGAAAGATGATGCATTGAAGAAGGCAAATTGCCCTGACTCTGGCAATTTACCAGAGAGTTCATTGAAGGAGAAATCAGCAATGGTGAGGCTTTTCATGGTCCCGATTGATCTTGGGATGGTTTGGTTCAAATGGTTTCGTGACAAGTTCAGGTAATTCAGAATACGGATATTGGAAATCATGGGCGGGATGGAACCGGAGAGATTGTTCTGGCTCATGTCAAGGTAAGTAAGATGGACACAATACCCAATTTCAGGTGGAATTTCTCCAGATAATGAATTTCTGCTAAGATCAAGCTTTAGCACTTGATTGAGTCCTCCAATGGAAGGTGGGATTGGACCCGAGAATTGGTTTCCGCTAAGCAAAAGGATTTGAATGGAAGAGAAGTTTGACATGGAATGTGGTAAAAGACCGGACAGGGCATTGTTTGACAAATCGAGTTGGACTAAATTAACAGGCTGAGAGGAACTATTATCGTTTTCTAACAAAGTTCCTGACAAATAGTTGTTCTGTAACTCTGCTAAATTTAGCTTGGGAAGGTATAGAAAGCCATTTGGAATGCTACCATTCAGGTAATTCTTTCCTAACCTTACTCTAGTGAGACTGTAACATGTTCCCATACCTTGAGGTATGGGCCCAAAAAGGAAATTATTGAGGAGAATCAAAATCCTGAGCTGATTTGAGGAACACAAGTGAGGTGGAATTACACCAGTGAGCTTATTGGAGGACAAATTAAGTACTTGTAGCTTCCCAGTAAGGCCAAGGTTCTGTGGAATTTCTCCCGTGAAGTTGTTCATCCACAGACCAAGTGTCTCTAAATCCGGCAAGTCTGCAATGTAGTTCGGTATGGAACCGTGTAACCTGTTCAAGAAAAGATTGAAAAGCTTGAGTTTGTTGAGGTTGATGAACTCAAACGGGATTTCTCCAGTGAGTGCATTGCCAGAAAGATCAAGGTTCACCAAGTTGGTCAAGTTGCCCAGTTGTTTTGGTATAGAACCCGAAAGCTGATTGATATGCAAGTAAAGAGTGTCCAGCTCCTTCAAGTTTCCCAACTCTTTTGGAATTGGACCATCCAAATCACAGCTTGAGATATCCATGTGAACTAGATTTACCAACTTTCCAAACTCCATCGGAATCCCATTTTCAAAGGAATTATACTAGCCCAAGTAAATCTCCCTCAAGTCAGTGAGATTGCCCAACTCACCTGGGATTTTCCCACGAATATCATTCCCTGCCAGTGACAAATATTCCAGCCCAACTAAATTTCCATAGCTTTCTGGGATTTCACCATTGAAAAAGTTCCCACCAAGATCCAAATACCTGAGCCTCTTCAAACTCTGAAGCCCCACAGGAAGCAAGGAAGTGAAGTTATTGTTGTAGGCATCAAATACTTGTAAGTCGTCCATGGTGGAGTAGTTCCAGTCCAAATGGCCACTGAACTGGTTATTGGAGATGTTGAGAAATTGAAGGCTGGTCAAGTTGGCGATGTGAATGGTGCCAGTTAAGTTGTTGCCTGCAAGGGAAAGATGGGTGAGTCTATCAAGGGTTGAAATTGAAGGAGAGACTGGGTTCATATCTGTTAAGTCCACCGACACAACTCGTTCCCTGTGGCATTGAATTCCAGCCCATGAACAAACTGAGCTGAAATTGGAGGGGTTCCAAGTGTTTAGAAGTGGGTGTGGGAATTGAAATCCTTCTCTAAGTGAGATTAGGACATGGAAATCACTGAGCAAGGATGAAGCACAAACAAAGGAACCCAAAAGAGAAAACACGGTGACAACAATCAAGGTCAAGGGGACCATGTTTTTGTTGGAATATGTTTTAATAGGATTGAGTTTGGAAGTACTCGAAGCAAAGACGACAGGTTTTAAACGCTCGGTTAAAGGGAAGAAAAGTGACGGGAATCTGGGAAACTTCGAGTGTGGAAGGACTTATGGAATCAAACATCTTCACACAAAGAGTCTTCAAATACAAGGAAGAAGCTAAGCCCCTCCTTTTCTCTCTTTCTCTCTTTCTCTTTTCCTTTCTTTTCTTATCTTTTCTTTGAGAGCAGAGAACGAGAAGATGATGAATTCTGGCAGAAATGGCTATACTTGTTATCTATATTTGCTTTATGGTTTTATTAGGAAAAGCTCAAAGGCAGAGGAAAAGAAAAGCACAAGAAAAGGAAAGAAAGGGAAGGGATGGTTTCTAAAAATTGTTTAATGGAGGAAACAAATGAACTATTTCTTTTCTCTTTTCTCTTTTTTTTTCTTCTTTTTCTTTTTTTTTTTTAAAAAAAAGCCATTGGATAACAGAAATTTAAAGTTTAGATTAGGGCAACAAAAAGTAAAGGTTGATGCTCACTTTCTTTCCTCAATCGTATGGCAAAGATGCCCTTTAGCTTTAATCAAAGAATGCCTCTTCATTGCTTTGAATAAGAGAGGTGATGGAATTGCACTTTCACTGATTCAAAATGGCTGAATTGCCCAGTCATTGTGTTAAGATGAATATCATTCTACATAATAGAAAAAAACAAAAAAATGGAAAGTGAGTACTGCCATCAGTGCTTGCCACTGTTCTAGACTGCAACAGTACACTGGCCAGTGGGACTCCAAATTGTATTCAGCCCTGTATAGGTTTCCCAACCACAGACTACCAACTTTGGATTGGTTTACATGCAAAACAAGAGATGCCTTCCCCACTTTGGCACAATCTGACCCATAGTTTTGGTGCTTGCAATTTAACTTTTTGGTACTAATTTACTGCATATGATATATCTAGCTTTATATGTAAATGTATATTTTGGGTTTCTTATAAATGATAGCTGAAAATGGTAAATGGAAGGCTGTATAAGAGTTATATGAGGTGGCTTTGGCATTAATTATTAAACAACATATTGAGGAAAAGATTTATATGAGCAATATGACCTCCTTGACAATGAATGGAGGACCCATCAAAAAGTGTTTATGATATTTTTTTAAATTATCATGGTCACTCTATTGTCATACCATGGTGTCAGCATCAGGTGTGTAAATCATCAATTGGTTGAGAAATAAATGAATTGGAAGGCCACTTTGCATGCCATTGTGTATTTGGATTTCTAGAAGCTGGTATTTTCTCATCGATACTGATAGTTTCCCTTCCCAAGCGCATAGGAAGGGTAATGTCCTATCACAGTATCATAATGGCACAATTTTAATCTCATATTTTTAATAATTAAAATGAATTTTATTTCCTTAAAAATAGAATATATATTTCTCAGTTGTCCATCCACACATATATTTTTTAATATGTATATACATTAGCTAATATAAATTAGTAAATATAATAAATTTTAAGAGTAGCTAAATTAGAACTTCAGAGGGACGGAAATAACTTACGAGTTAAGAGTTAAGAGAATACAACGGTCATCATAGTTTTGCCGCCAAAAAATATAAATTAAAAATTTTCTTTCTCTATTTTCACTACTTCTTAAGGTTTTCTTAGGGTTTCTTTCTATGTTTTCACTCCTTCTTAAGGTTTTCTTAGGGTTTCTTTCTCTGTTTTCACTCCTTCTTAAAGTTTTCTTGGTTTCTTTGGGTTTCCTAGTTTCTTTCTCTTGTTCTTGCTTGTTTTCTTCTCTTGTTCTTGGATTGTTTTATCAAGACAATGGAATTGGTGAATATGGGAGATGGGACAAGTAGATGATGACCCAACCAGCCTGTATTGTTTGGCAACACTTCTACAAAGGTGTCAATACCTAAGTATGTTACTTCTGCCCTTTCTTTTCTTCTCTTTTCTTTTCTTTTTTTCTTGAAAATGTTTGATTATGTGCTGATATTTCTTGCTTGAAAAGATTGAGTATGTGGGTTTCTTGCTGATATTTCTTGCTGATATTCGACTGTGTTCTTTTTTCTTTTCTTTTTTCTTTTCTTGAAAATACAGTATATTTCTTTTTCTTTTCTTGAAAAGAGAAGATTGAGGGTGTGGCTTGTCAACAGTTGCTTGTCAATACCATATGAAATATATGTTTCTTTCTTTCTTTTTCTTTATTATTCTGGCAATATTGAGGGTGTGGCTTTTCCATTATGTTCTTGCTTTTCTTTTCTTTTTTCTTTTCTTGAAAATACAGTATGTTTCTTTTTTTTCTTGAAAATAGAAGATTGAGGGTGTGGCTTGTCAACAGTTGCTTGTCAATACCATATGAAATATATGTTTCTTTCTTTCTTTTTCTTTATTATTCTGGCAATATTGAGGGTGTGGCTTTTCCATTATGTTCTTGCTTTTCTTTTCTTTTTTTTTTTCTTGAAAATACAGTATGTTTCTTTTTTTTCTTGAAAATAGAAGATTGAGGGTGTGGCTTGTCAACAGTTGCTTGTCAATACCATATGAAATATATGTTTCTTTCTTTCTTTTTCTTTATTATTCTGGCAATATTGAGGGTGTGGTTTTTCCATTATGTTCTTGCTTTTCTTTTCTTTTGATTTCGTTTCTTTTTTTTTCTTGATAACTGTGGATGTTCGATTGTATGCTTTTGTTTCTGTCTGCCCAGACATCATATTCTTGCTGATATTTCTTGCTGATATTCGATTGTGTTCTTTTTTCTTTTCTTGAAAATACAGTATGTTTCTTTTTTTTCTTGAAAATAGAAGATTGAGGGTGTGGCTTTTCCATTATGTTCTTGTTTTTCTTTTCTTTTATCTTTTCTTGAAAATACAGCATGTTTCTTTTTTTTTCTTGAAAATAGAAGATTGAGGGTGTGGCTTGTCAACAGTTGCTTGTCAATACCATATGAAATATATGTTTCTTTCTTTCTTTTTCTTTATTATTCTGGCAATATTGAGGGTGTGGCTTCTTGCTTTTCTTTTCTTTTGATTTCGTTTTTCTTTTCTTTCTTCTTTTCTTGAAAATACAGTATGTTTCTTTTTTTTTCTTGAAAATAGAAGATTGAGGGTGTGGCTTGTCAACAGTTGCTTGTCAATACCATATGAAATATATGTTTCTTTCTTTCTTTTTCTTTATTATTCTGGCAATATTGAGGGTGTGACTTTTCCATTATGTTCTTGCTTTTCTTTTCTTTTGATTTCGTTTTTCTTTTCTTTTTTCTTTTCTTGAAAATACAATATGTTTCTTTTTTTTTCTTGAAAATAGAAGATTGAGGGTGTGGCTTGTCAACAGTTGCTTGTCAATACCATATGAAATATATGTTTCTTTCTTTCTTTTTCTTTATTATTCTGGCAATATTGAGGGTGTGGCTTTTCCATTATGTTCTTGCTTTTCTTTTCTTTTGATTTCGTTTCTTTTCTTTTCTTTTGATTTTGTCTAGTTGAGTTTGTTAATTTTTTCAGTTGGTGTTTTATTTAACAAAACTAACATTGGATATATTTAGATATGTGGGTTTTCTATTTTATTTATTTTTTAAATATCTATGGTTTCGATTGGAATGATAACATGTTGGTTTTTCATCATGTTGAAGATGATGAAAAAGCTGAGAAGATGGAAGAAGATGAGGATGAAGCTGAGAAGATGAAGAGGATGAAGCTGAGATGATGGAAGAGGATGAAGATGAGGATGAAGCTGAGAAGATGGAAGAGGATGAAGATGAGGATGAAGCTGAGATGATGGAAGAAGACGAGGATGAATATGGGAGATGGGATGCAATGGGAGATGGGATGCAAGTGGATGAGGATGAAGCTGAGAAGATGGAAGAGGATGAAGATGAGGATGAAGCTGAGAAGATGGAAGAGGATGAAGATGAGGATGAAGCTGAGATGATGGAAGAAGATGAGGATGAATATGGGAGATGGGATGCAATGGGAGATGGGATGCAAGTAGATGAGGATGAAGCTGAGAAGATGGAAGAGGATGAAGATGAGATGATGGAAGAAGATGATGATGAATATGAGAGATGAGATGCAATGGGAGATGGGATGCAAGTAGAAAAGGATGAAGCTGGGAAGATGTAAGAGGATGAAGATGAGGATGAAGTTGAGAAGATGGAAGAAGATGGGGATGAATATGGGAGATAGGATGCAATGGGAGATGGGATGCAAGTAGATGATGACCCAACCAGCCTGTATTGTTTGGCAACAATCCTACAAAGGTGTCAATACCTAGGTATGGTACTTCTGCCCTTTCTTTTCTTTTCTTTTTTTTCTTGAAAATGTTTGATTATGTGCTGATATTTCTTACTTGAAAAGATTGAGTATGTGGGTTTCTTGCTGATATTCGAATGTGTTCTTTCCTTTCCTTTTCTTTTTTTTTTCTTGAAAATAATACGGAGGATGTTTCTTTTTTTCTTCTTGAAAATAGAGATTGAGGGTGTGGCCCTTACATCTAAATACTGATGCAGAATGCATTGTTTATCTGTAAGATGGGCAAGAGACTTTTAGATCCATCACTAGATCTTACTACAAAGGAGCAGCGGGGGAACTTCTAGTTTATGACATTACAAGGTGGGTGGTGCTATTGTTATTTTGAAATAGAACTTATGGTCTGCACTTCTACTTTTATGCATGTTAAGTGTTCTGAGATGTTCAATATGTGTGCGATAGAAGTGAAATGCTGTATAATTGTGCTGTTACGTGTTTGCAAACTTTATGGGCTGAGTGAAGCTTTGATATTGCCTGCAATAGAAGTGAAATGCTCTATAAATGTTTTGTTACGTTTCTATTCTTTTGATTTAAAAGTCTAGAACATTTGTGTCTTAGTTTATTTTCAAAGTTTAAAGTTTAAACCACGTTATATGATTTTTCAGTTTTCCAATACCTCATTAGCGCTAGCACTGATGGTTGCAACATGTTGCCATGGAGGATGAAGATGAGGATGAAGCTGAGAAGATGGAAGAAGATGAGGATGAATATGGGAGATGGGATGCAAGTAGATGATGACCCAACCAGCCTGTATTGTTTGGTAAAACTCCTACAAAGGTGTCAATACCTAGGTATGGTACTTCTGCCCTTTCTTTTCTTTTCTTTTCTTTTCTTTTCTTTTTTTCTTGAAAATATTTGATTATGTGCTGATATTTCTTGCTTGAAAAGATTGAGTATGTGGGTTTCTTGCTGATATTTGACTGTGTTCTTTCCTTTCCTTTTTTTTTTCTTGAAAATAATACGGAGGATGTTTCTTTTTTTTTCTTGAAAATAGAGATTGAGGGTGTGGCCCATACATCTAAATACTGATGCAGAATGCATTTTTTTTTCTTGAAAATAATACGAAGGATGGTTGCAACATGTTGCCATGGGGGTCTGTTTTTTTTGTCTGTATATAAGTGTATGAATGTATGTTTATGTGTATCCCTTTTCATGTAATACAAATAAATATTATGTCCAATCCGGTTTCCTTTTTCTTTTATGTGATTTTGGGGCTTAAATCTGAGGTTTTTTCATTTTTCTAATCGTGCCATCAACTGAAAACCAGAAGCTTCTTTTGTTGATCAGGAGAGAGACATTTAATCATTTAGCAAGTTGGCTAGAAGATGCCCGGCAGCATGCCAATCCTAACATGTCAATCATGCTCATAGGGAACAAAAGTGATATGTCTCACCGAAGGGCAGTGAGCAAAGAGGAGGGCGAGCAATTTGCAAAGGAAAATGGACTTTTATTCTTTGAGGCTTCTGCCAGGACAGCTCAAAATGTGGAAGAGATGATTTATCTCAAATCAATAGCAAGCAAGATACATGATATGTGTTTTGCGGATAAATCTTTGGTACAACAGTTGTACCCAAGTGGGTACAACTTTTTTCCACTTTTAGAAAAAAAATTAACACTTTTCAAAAAAATTAAAATTTATTTTTCCCGCCATGTTGCACTTTTTTCCAAAAGTGGAAAAAAGTTGTACCCACTTAGGTACAACTGTTGTACCAAAGATTTATCCGTGTTTTGCAGCCTCAATGATATTGTGATTTTCAATACCCCTCAATAGTAACTTAGAGTGCATATTCTGCAGCCTTTTTTAAAGACTGCTGCAAAGATTCTTCAGAATATTCAGGAAGGTGTCTTTGATGTGTCCAATGAGGTAATTATCTACCGTGAGTTTCATGTAAAAAGTTATGAGAAGTCAGTAGTTGTGATAATATCTTGAACTTTGGTTGTTAGTGCATATTCTTTCATGTGATGTTTTTATCTTGCAATGAGATTGGGATTGGAGCAGTGGTTAAACTACCTTTGTGATTGAAAGGTCACAGGTTCAAATCCGAAAAATAGTCTCTTTGCAAATATGCAAAGGTAAAACTGTGCATATAAAGATTGTCATCACCTCGGGGATTTATGGGGAGTAATTTTTTATTTTTTTTAACTGTCAAACTGGATGACCTACCCTTAAGAAATGAATCTATTATTGCAGTCATCTGGTATAAAAGTTTGTTATGGAAGACCCCAAAGTCAAGCAGGTTCCAGATATGGAACTGTTTCTGCAAGAGGTGGGTGTTGCAGCTGATTGAGAGGAAAAACAATTCTGAATCTAATCCTTTTGTGAATCTATTTCTAGCATTCCCTGTCTCAACCGAGTGTATAATCTTAGACTTGACATGGAGCTTTTGGATAACACTACAGTTACATGTATAGGTCTAATCTCAAAGGAATTCTTGTGACAAATTTGACTACATAGTTGTTAAGATCTTTAAATGTTTTAAATGATTGCCTGTGTTGTGTTAGATTCCGCTATGAAATTGTTTAATGCCAGGTTTTTTAGTTGCTTATATTCGTTCCATTGTTACTTGATATAACATATACATGGAGAAATTTTTTAGTAGGTACTCTCTATCATAGACACTTATTTAATATTAAACATGTATGAAGATGTGTTGCTCATGTTTAGAATTTTATCAATCTTTAAAAAATGTTGTTATACATGTCAACAGTTGAATTGAGTGTCTAAGAGATGATGTGATCAACAGCTCCTACATATGAATTTATGTACATGCGTGATTTTTTTTTTTATATATATTATAGTTGTTTATATTTCTTTAAAAAAATATTACTTAACTTTATAATGAATTTAATTTTGATTTATTATTAACTTGAAATTTTGTTACACTCATTGCCATTTTATTTAACCCGTTTTACCGTGACACAATTTGAAGACTGGGATATTATAATTTCGTTGAACTTCTGTTGACTATGCCTGATTTTGATTCATGAGTAACGTAATTTTTTTTTTACACTGGGATACTGTGATTTGACAATTCATTTTATTTTATTAATTCTTGACAATTCATACTGGGATACTATAATTTGATTTAACTTTTTGTATTTTTATATATAAGAGAAATAAGAACAAACTATATGGGACACATACGTCAAGACCACCACATAATCCTTGAGTTGCCAATCCTTTTATGAAAGAAGGGTATACCAAGCCTTTGACTGATGATTCTCTTAATGGGAAATGCATTAATATTATGATTTAATAAAAAAAATTCATTAGCATTTTATGACAGTATTTAAATTTTGTTAAGAGCATGTTTGGTTTTTTTTTTTTTAAGCTAGATGATTTTATAAGCTAAAGCTCAAAAAAGAGCTTAGAAAAAAAAAAGTTAAAAATTGTTCGGTAATTATATAAATTTTTTATATTAAAAACATATATTTCAAGAAAATTATCTCTCTCTATCTCTATAGCTCTTTATTATAAAAAAAACACATAATTCAAGAAAAGTAGATAAGAGTTTAAAAAAGTCCCTCCTAGTAGCTTTTAGCTTTTTCTTTCTCCATTATACAAAAAAAGCTTTTCATTACAAAAGTTTTTCTCAAAATCTGTTTAGCCTAACTTAGGGGGTGTATTGGATTGAGATATCAAAAGATTTTAATGGATTGTTTTTGGCAAAAAAATCTGTTGGTATTCGATTAGGATTTTAAAGGATTGTTTTAGAATCTGTCCAAATTCGTTGGTATTCAATCAAGATTTTAAACAATGGAATCATAATCTCGATCTCATGGTATTAAAAAATCCGACAATTTTAATGGATTTTCTAGTGTTGTGGATTTCGTGAGACTTTTTAGTGAAAAATATAAATAGGAAGTCTTTTTCACAATCTGACTCTCACCCCTAGGATTTTTTGAGATTCTTCTATTGCAGTGTTTTCTTCATCCTTTGGCAGATTGACTGCTCGAAATTGGATTCCGCCATGGGAGCTTCGTCAAAACTAAAAAAAAGTATATTTTTGAGCGATTTTCATCACAAAACAACCCAGAAACAACAAACCAACGAGATTTTAATATAATCTCTCAAAAATAACATATTATTGAGCCATTTTTGAGAAATTTTAGAAGTTTAAAAAGTGATTTTTCAAGCTATGAGTCGCGGTTTTTCTTGGCACAAAAACGTGATTTTTGTATTAAAAATGTTCTGTCCTGGAGACAGAGATGTCTAGCCCAATAGGCTAGTACGTTGATATTGGATCTAGTGCCCTCTCCAAGGTATCTATGAAGGAGATACCCTTGAGTTAAGCAGATCACTGTGCACAGAATACTATAACGGCGTTAGCCAATGGGGTGTGTGTGCGCACAGTGACAGCATAACAGTAAGAGAGAGAGCGTACGTACCTTTAGGGTTTACCTTTGTATTTATAGAGGTTACCAGTGGGTAGTGTGGATGGGCCTTTGGTTCCTCTTGTGAGGGTCCAGGCCTGATAGCTATGCTGTCGTATTATGATTAGTATCCTTGATGGATATCTATCCTTTATTAGTATCAATCCATATCTTGGATTGCCCCTTGTTGGGCTTGCTACTTAATGGGCCCATTATACGGGTCCATAACAAAAAATAACACAAAACAGTGAAAAAATAAAGGGGAACTAAAACCCTCAAACCAATTTTCATTTTACATCAGAGAAACTATATCAATTTAAAAAAAGATTGAAACTTTCATAATATGAACTCTATATTTCGTAACAATACATTCATGAACAAAATTCCTTCACTATAGGTAACGATCTCAAACAAGTTTTGTGTCAATAGATAACTAAAAGTTTGTTTCTCAAAAGCTCCAAAGCTATTTAAGGTTTCAATGTATCGATTGAAAATTTTTTGAGAAATTTTCTAAACTTTCATGTAATTAAACCCAAAATTTCATATTCGAAATTTTCTTAGAATATTCAATGAAAATATGCATATGATATATGGTTAGAAAACTCTCATCACGTAAAATAAAAATCCCAAGGTTTTCTAGATCAATTGCAAAAAATACCAAACAAAATTTTATCATGAACTTTAGGTTCTGTATGCAAATTTAGAATTATTTTTATAATTTAAAAAATTGGGTCTTATAATCATATATGCATAGTTTTGATACCAAATGAAGAAGATAATTTTCAACCCATTAGATATGTGAAAAGTTGTTGTTTAGTAATTTTGAATGTTTGTTAAAATTTATATAATGTTTTACTAATTGAGAAAATTATATTAGGTTTTACTTTTTTTTATTAATTTCATTGCATTTCTTTGTTATTTTTTTATGGGGAAGATTATACTTACAACATTTTATAATCATATTTTAACCATTGATTTCCGTCAATCAACGATTATTATTTTCGCAAATCAAACTCATTAATTAATATTTAATTTGCAATGAATGATAACTGTTGATTGCTGTCAATCAACGGTTAAGATATGATTGTAAGATGTTATAAACAAAAATAGGTTGTAAGTATAACCTTTTCCTTTTTTATTGACTCTTGTAATTTTGAATGTTTGTTAAAAATTCATATGATTTTTAAAATCTTATAAATCCATATTGTCCTTTCAAATCTTGAAATCTTGATTGTAAAAAAAGTCTCTTTTTTTTGGTAAAAAAAGTCCTTAAAGTCTCTCTAATTCTAAATAGTCTTTTAAAATCTATTAAAAAAATTAGCTCAAAAAATTTAGCTCAAAAAATTCTAATCCAATACACCCCCTTATACTTATAAGTAACCTCTAACTTTGTCTATAATATTCAACAATACATCTTACTTTGTCTATTGACATCCACAGAAAAAAAAAGTTTAATTTTAATGAGTTATTATAATTTTTTTAATGTATTATTACATAATATAATATTCACTGATTATTTAATGATTTTAACAACTTACAAGTTTTATATAAACTGCACATAAATTAAATTCCAAAATATATAGGTACAGGCTGAGGCGGATGTAGGTTGAAGAGAAGGGGGGCAAGTGCCCACCCTTAAATTATGATGCAAAAATACAAAAGTATTCTTTTCTTAAAATTCAAGTTTTTCCAATTTAATTTCGGAGTAGGATATTGTAACAACTAATTAGGGTTACTAGCAATGTTACTACCAATCAATTTCACCGTATTTCACCGTTATATTGATTATGTTAATCCAACGGTTATATTTATTTTCATCCCAATCAATTTCACCGTTAGATTCATTATGTTGATCTAACGGTTATATTTATTTTCATCTTTGTATGGTTATGATTCCCCATATTTAATACTTTATATTTATTTCTACCTTTGTATGGTTATGATTTTTCATATTTAATACTTTTACATTAAATATGGGGATCATAACCATACAAAGATAGAAATAAATATAACTGTTGGATCAACATAATCGATTTAACGGTGAAATTGATTGGTAGTAACCCTAATTGGTTGTTACGAGCTTTAATTTTCCTCATTCTATTTTATTTTCCCGTGAGTTTTTTTTTCTCCTCCATCTTCATTATCCAAACCTAACAGCAGAGAGCTTTATTCGACAACCATTGTTTGCATCTACATATTGATTCATCTCCTCTCAAACCTCAATCTCCATTATTGAAAGTTGGAACATTTGCTTCTTCCTCCATCATCGGTCCAGTTGAGTCGCAATCAGTGGCGGACGCATGAATTTTAATAAGGGGGCGAAAATAAAAAATACTATATCATAAATAAAAGTACTTGAAATACAATACAAACTTAATATATAAAAAATTGAAAGAAATTTATTACAGAAATTAATATCACTTCACTTACTCTTGCTCTACGTGTTTTCATACTATTAAACTTATATATAATTGAATCCATTTAAACCTTTTGTTTGTTTGCTTGTAACTAAATTTTTTTAAAAATAATATTAGAACTTTATTTAGTTTATGTATATTTCATTAAGGGAATATTACACCGAAAATGGGCGCGACCCACCTTTTATCTATATCTCTCCTCTCCTCGTAGGATTCTATTCATTTTATGTGAGTGCAAGAGATAAATTTATTTTCATCTTATAAGAGAAATATTATTCTCTTTCATTAATAATATATTTTTATTTTATTTATACTATGTAAGATGCATAATTTTTTTAATAAATATAAGATAACATAGTAAATAAATTTTTTGGCTAGTAACCTAGTATATAATATGGAAAAAAAGTGTGTCATTTTAAATGACACACCTTACATCTTTTTACTCTCACAAAGAGGTGGGATTCACATCTTTAAAAAAAAAATTATTCCACTC